GACACAACCCTGAAATTTGTCGTAGACAAACTAAAAAGCCAGGACTCAATCTTGAGTGCCGACCTTTCCGAGGCACTCCGCAAAAGAATCAGAGAACGGCGTCTTACCGAGGTCACAGGGATGCTGATTTACATACAGAACCCGAAGAAGTATGACCAAAAAGTTACAATACTCGATTATTCTTTCACAATTCCGAAAAAAATGTAATGCGCCAGGAGATGAAAAATATGCTGAATCGTATAAATACATATGTAGTGGAACCAGCAGAAATGGCAGAGGATGTTATAGAGGTGGAAAACGATGATCCAGATTCCTTGAATTTCACATTGAAACAAGAATTTAAGATCCAACTAAAGCGTGAGAAAGAAAACTTCGTGAAACGGAAAGAAACTAGTACTGAGAAGGATTATGATAAGTTATTAAAAAAGGAAATGGCTGTTTATGAAAGTGAGGAAGTCAGAGGTGAAAACTTATCTTTGATTTATGATTATTTGATGATCCTGAAACCAACTAGCGTAGAGGCAGAAAGGGCCTTCTCCGCAGCGGGATATGTATGCAGTTCATTAAGAAGTAGGTTGGGAGACAACACCATCAATACCATTTGTTTCTTCAGATTCTACTTCCAGAAAAGTAAAAATAAATAAATAACAGAAGTGATTGATTTAATTTTATTTAATCTTTTAAAATACTTTATTCAAAACAAGATTAATATTTTATAACTTCTACTCTAATTGTATTAAGTAAGAGTTTTTAACTTTAATTCTATAAGTGGTTAGTAAGCCAGGCAATTTTATTGTGAAAATTGGTGAGAAGCTGAGACTATCTAGTTAGTTAAATATTGATAGTTAACCACTTAGCCACTGATTATCCGTCCTTACATTATAATAATATATTAATATAAATTAATTAGTAGAATTACCGTTGTTATTATTTAACTTAAACATTACATTATAATTATTATCTAACTTAAACATTACATTATAATTATTATCTAACTACACATTTAAACTTAATTATCTCTGTCTCAAGTGTAAACCGAACCAAAGTTAAGTTTACTACCTAAATATGTAAGAAGTTTTACTGATTTATAGTGACCAGTCTAAATAATAAAAGTTTCTTAAGTATTTTTTTAAAAAATGTTTTATTTCTTTAAAAAACAAACCATAAATTGCTGGATAGATAACATTTTATTGCACCAAAAATACATCCGCGCTGGATCCAGATGGAATCATGTTGGTCCAGCAAAAATCCAGCTGGATTGAAAACACTGCTGGATTGCAATTCTTAGTTGCGGGATGCAAACGACAAAGAATAGGCGCGATACATTAGGCGAAAATCGGCGATTTGACTTTGAAATTCAGAGTTTTATAGGATTTTCCTCTCGAATCTTACCTTTTTGATTGGTCCTGTATCCCGTTCCTCGCTTCCCGATTGATCTCCCTTTGGTTTCTAGGTAAAAACCCTAGACTTGATCGGGTAACGAGAAAGATCCGTTTGGTAGCGTCTTTCCGTCAATAGCGTAGCGTAGTGGGGGCGGCAGGGGCGGCAAAATTTCACAATATATAATAATAATATCTTGTAAGAATTTGAACCATTTTATTTCATATTTTCGTCTACCTACGACTCGGACCGATTGAAATGAGCACGGAATAGTGTTACCATCCATCCGGATAGTCTGGGAATCGACTCGCTTTCCGGGGATATCGTGCGCAACCTGTTGATTTTTTTTTTTTTGCTTTTGCTTGTACGATTTATTCGTATATATATATACACCTCCAATATCCAATACAGCTATATGCGTTACTCCTATCCAAGTCTCCCTAGTCTTTAACTGTAACTGATTTAGAACCAGCATGCACTGCACATTATTCTTCGCATTGCAAAATGACATACGCATGCGTCAGGAACTTCTGTTCGAACAAACCTCACCTGGGTTCGGGTCGGCGATTTTAATAAGGTGGCAACACTAGCACGGAATTTTCATTACTTATTATGTGACGAAACTGAATTTTAGTCTTTTAAATTGAGATACCTAAATAAGGGGGGGCGAAATTTTCCTCTGCCCCGAGCGGCTGACACCCACGCTACGCCACTGCTTTCCATACCTGATCAGAGTTTGTTGATAGAACTACAAGCGGTACGCTCATAATTTAGCCCGTTGTTTCTATTTTCTGTCAATTTTTGGATTTTAATGATCGCACGTGATGTTTTTGTAACCGTCTAATTTTTTCCTTTTTTTGACTTTTTAACCTAGATCGACTGTTTATGTGCGCTCGTGTCAGAGTCTTCCCCGGCTCACATTCTACCTGATCCGTCAAATCATTGGTCTTCACGTCGCGTTTGTTTTCACAACTGCAGTTTTTTTCTCTCCTCTCCTTTACATAATTAACATGACCTTTGTTCCGCCTTGACAATAGCGATTTTGCTTTTAACATATAAAAATTTAGTTTTAGTTTCGACCCGTTCTGGAACCTGACATTTGCTTGATGATAAAATAAGTTCAATAACATTGTTCAAGGTGTTTCAAGAATCGCTAAATTTACAATATAACTATTAATTTTCTTTAATGAATTTTGTATAATAATAAAGTTTACTCTATGTACGAGTATATGTAGGGGAGACCGGGGCAAGATCGGCATGTTAAGCTTTACTTAAATTTTGTGTAATAAATACTGCTGTAAACTGAAAAAAAAGCTTTGCATATTGTCTATTGGAATGTTACCTTACTATAGAACTGGTTAAAATCAGTTTGGAAATAAAAATAATTAAAATAATTACAACTTTACAAGAAGAGAGAAATTGACGAAGTTGCCCCGGGTATAGGGTCAAGATCGGCAACTTCTCTCTTTTTGTAAAGTTGTAATTATTTTAATTATTTTTATTAAAGTTGCCCCTGGTATAGGGGCAACAGTAATGGGGCAAGATAGGCACGTATATAAAATTATGTTATTAACAATGTATAAGTTGAAATTCACTATTAAAACAAAGAAATACAAATCCAACACCCATTTAATATTATTACAACGAAATGCAAGTTCAAAGACATATATACATGAATAACAAATGCAAACATGTTTTCATTTATCATCTGTTTGATTTTTATCCTTTGCTTCTAATGTGGCTTTATGTTGCCGATCTTACCCCGCTAGTCATGATTTCGAAACATTAAGTACAACCCTGAGAACAGAATGCCAAGCCACGATCTGGCCACGTGAATAAGTTGAAGTTACATCCTTCTAACAGGAAAAGTAACTTTCGTTATCATGGAATTATAACAAAACCTGCCAATTCAATATAAATGGAAAAAAAAATATTATATGGAATTGAACGAAAATGAAAATTTGCTTGATAATTCAACTACGCTTGTTGGAGAACAATAAAAACACTACACTCAACAAGCCACCAATAAAACTCAACTGCCTAACCTATAACCAAAGTCTCCTTTTAATTTGTTTTTAAAAAAAAGCGCTTGACAAACTTGCCCCGCATGCCGAAGTTGCCCCGGTCTCCCCTATATAATGTGTTATTCACGATATGAAGTTATTCATTATATAAAATATATATATAATACTTATTCTGTTAAAAGTACCTATTAATTTTGTCTTTCCTTCTTTCTCCCCCTTGTAAACGCGAAATCAAATTAAGAAAAATTATTATTATGTTACAGAAGTGCACTTTGAGTGAGGTCTTTATTGAATATGCCACAGTGCACACATTTCACATCTTCCTTTTTATTTGACAGATGTTGGCTTATGAGAAATTTTCGTACATCTTTGGCACAGAAAAGTGTTTATTCCTTCTCTTGTTTGGTGGTTGTAGTGAAATATTACTAACTGATTATGGGTGATCTCTTATTCTATTAGGATAATTCACAATGTGCCTTTTCCGAGTGGAAAGCACTCGGATAAGGCACATTGTGAATTATCTTTTGAAATCCATAGTTAGAAGTCTTTAAATTAATTGATTTCTTTGTATACTAAAGAAATGAGTTTTTACCAGGTCCATTATGGTTTTAGCCAGACCACAATGGGATGGTTACTTTTTGAGAGAAGGAACCCGAGAAAGACTTTCCAGAAAAATTTCTGCAATTGTTTGCCTGAATTCCATTTTTAGACTCCATAGCAGCAAGCCATGCCATTACCACCCATAGCAATATGACCAGTGGGAATGAAACGGGTGCATACAGTAGTAAAGGTTAAGAACTGTTCTAAATAAGTATTAATTTGCATCATTTCACTTTGTAATAATTTTCCTATCTGGATTTTATTTTATTTTTTTTTCCGTAAGTGAAATTCTGGTTTAAATGTGTGACTGTTATTTGCATGTCATATTGTTAATTTTTCTCCAATATTTTCATAATAATAATATAGTGAAAAGTATTGGAATCAATTAAAATAAAATGAAAAACATGTCTATTTGTAACATATTATATTCAAAACTGTTTCCATCGATCATAAATTAATATTTGTGGAGCAATAACATAACCAGTTTAACAAAACCAGGTAGGGGCATAGGAGCCTCGGGCCCCTGTACCTTTGCAAGTAAATAGATTAAGAAAAAACATGAATGCAGGAAAAAAGATTGGAAAATGAAAAATTCATTTGTACACATGTACAGTACAGTACAGTACATACAATATCTAAGTTTATTCTTTATCCGCAGTGTTGGTGGCTACATTCAGTGTAGTGCAGGGATGAGTGTAGGTTTGTGTTCTAGTTTGGGCCCCCCTCTAATATAAGTTCTAGTGTGCTACTATTTTGAAGTTTCGGAAATCTTCAATGCTATTTAATTATGAATTTCTTAGAATATTCCTTTTTAATATACAATTAATTTTGCTTAAGCATGCATAATTTATCCATTTTAGGATTTAATTGAATCTTTGAAATTGCAATGGTAAAGTTATTTTATTGATTTATAAAATGTGTTTTATTTTCAGCTGATCTTATATATTTTTGGCATTGCTATGCAATGGAATTTTTATTTTTAATATGGATTTTATATTTTAATCATATAAATTGTAAAGGTAAGTGAATACTAAATTTACTTTAGAAAGATAGTTATCAAATATTACAATAAAATAGATTAAAATTGGTATTTTTCTAGATGTTGCTTCACGTCCGCGTAAGAACTGTGACGATCTTTTGAGGTACCATCAAATTGAGAAATCGGGTTCTTACGAGATTGACGTAGACGGTGACGATGGCAATCTACCTCCTGTTTTTGTAGAATGTAAATTTATTAAACACAACACTGATTATCAGGTAGAAATTTTAAAAATATATAGAATTATACGAAGTACAAAATATTAATTTAATGCCTAAACCTCTGGCATACTTCGTTCCATTTTCAAGCCAGAACATTCAATTCCTTTGACTCGAAAGTTTGAGAATGACGTGAAGTGTGGCAAAAGCGTTAGAATTAAAATAATACTTCATAATTTCTAGATTTTTAAGTTTATATACAGGGTCTTCCAAAATGAACTTTGCCATTTTAAATAACTGTAATTATGTTAATTATTATCCGAGAAGTATGTGATGTACAGTACACCTACCCATACAGTAACTGTTCGAGTTTTATCTCCCATGTGAATTCAAACGTCTTGCTGTCTACCACTACTAGGAAGCGACAAAGATAAAAATGGAGACCCCACAACAGAGAAGACGTTTTGTGTTTTGAAGTTGGCAAAGTCAGAATTACTTGGTATCGTGTACACACTTGTAATACAAGTGATCTGCAGGAGCATTGTAACTGCCGTGGGAGCGTGATAACAATATGCCATAGAAAGCATAGGGATAACTTGAGTATCGGTTGGACGTGTGCCATGTGACGTGAAGTACATATGTTGAGAAATTATAATGGTCAAATGGACAGTTTTCCAATGTTTTAATGTACTGTACATTATGTTAATTATTATCAAGAACATTATAATTACAATAATTTAAAATGGTAGCATTCTTCTAAGGTTATATATACAGTATATATATAGAACCTTTGAATCTGCTTCCAGGTTTTGTATAATGTAAATTTATTAAACACACACTGGTTATTAGGCTGTTTTGTCAGGTTGTTTAGTAAATAAATATTTATATATTAATATATATATATATAGGCCTATATCTTATTAACCCTATAAATAATGTATAAATTATTTAGTATTTACTATATTTTTAGTATTGTAAACATTATGAAACCCATTATAATATTTCCTACCTGAAAAGTTTGAAATCTTTAATACTTTAGGCGTTAACTATAATTCATCATGATTCTGAAGAGACTATAGATATTATAGGAAACGAAGGAATGGAAGCATACGAACGAAACATCAGTTACCGAGAAGTAACCGATCGACATTTAACAAGTGTCATTGATAGTTCATTTTCGTGTCAGCAGTTTATCAGATGGAATTGCAAGGGTGCCAAACTGGGTTTATGGTATCCTAATCCTTTAAGTTGGTAATGAAAGCTTTATCTATGTAATGTAGATTCATTAATTTTAAATTCCAACTAAATAGATCATGTTTAGGTGGGTCGGTCGAAATAGAATGAAGCAATATTATTGGGGAGGTGCAGAAACGGACAGTAGAACTTGCGGATGTCATCCTTATTGTGAACCTACTAAAAGAAACAGTACTTGTAACTGTGATGCTAAAGACGAGAAGAGGTGGCTAGAAGATTCTGGTCTTTTATTAGATTCTTCCAGATTGCCCGTATTCCAGTTACGATTTGGAGATTTGGGAAAACCAAACAAAGCTGGAAGTCATACTTTAGGACCTTTGATCTGTTATCAACAAGGACATATCGGTAAGTCTTTTAATGTAGATAAAAATATCTTGTTTAACGATTTTTCATCCATTCTAAATGAAGGTTATCTCGGCAATTTGTACTACTTGATTTGTTTTGTTCATATGTTCTACCCAAACTAGCCTAGCAATTTCTCCTCTTCATCTGCTGATTAGTTTTCCCCTTTTTTACCATTGTAATTCACCATTCCATCATCAGCAATTTTGCCATATGTCTGGCTCATCTCTATTTTGCATTTTTTACATATTGAAGTCTTTAATGCCGCTTTGAGACCTTATATATTAATTACTGCTTTTCTCTCAAGATCCATCTTTCATATTCTTTGTCACAGTCTGTGTTTGACTTTCGTAACAAAAATATATTACTATATAATCCAGTTTTAAAATTTTTATAAATTTTTAGATGAATTTAAAGGAATACATAATGCTCCTGCAGAAATTACAAGTCCAGAATTTCCAAGTTCATATCCTCCACCCTTCCACAAATTTACGTGGAAAGTCATCATAACTGCAGGTGATATGATAGAACTGACATTTCCAGATTATGATGTTCTTCATTTCGGAGCCTATAATTCTGTTCCTGGATGCCAAGATGTTGTAACAGTAAGTGCAAAACCAGAAGAAGGCAATATCATTGTTATTAAAAGACAGGGTAATGCACCACCTTATTACATATCACAAGGATCTGCTACATCAATTAACATTACATTAACAACTTGTAATCAAGACGAACGTTTACCATCAAGAAGTGGATTTCGAGCTGTATTCAAAAGATCAGGTATATTTAATAGCATCAAATATCAATAAAATAGCGTAAGAACTATGTAGGGTTATCCCCAGTATGGTGCATATAACAATATAATATAGTAATAAAATGGTTACGTTATATAGTTTTTGTTACACATTCATAAAATAAGTAGTAGTAACTGTGATATACCATCGTGATTACAATGATATACTCCATAGATTACGTTTTCCTGGCAGCACCTCATAAGACACATATAGGCTATACATGCTATTGTGGGAGAATCCTCTGCTGCATTATTTTTGAACAATCCTGTATATATTTCAAAGTTTCCAATTTTAGTATCTGAAAGATAATGAAATATAGAATAGAAACTTTTTTAATATTTCTAATTTTAGTTCAATTACATTGATATATATTTTACTATGATTATATACTGGTACTTCGTTTAATGTTTAACAATGTGTGTTAGATTGTGTTGGTTGTAATGCTGCAGTTGGACAGAATGGAGGCACAACATTCTGCGATGAAACCTGTGGAATAATTGCGTCTGAAGGGTACAAATCGTTATTATAGGATAAATTGTAAATTTTGTTATAAATTGATTATTACAATGTTTGTATGTTGTAGATACCCCTTCCCAGATCATTGGTATTCCAATTCTAAGAAATACAATCATTCTTGGATTCTCCGACAGAATGGGCCGTCTTCTCAATCTCTTGTGGTCGAACTCAACTTCAACGATTTTGATATACCAGGCACGCTAGCATCAAGAAATTGTACTCCGGAACAAGGAATACTTAACATTTATGACGGAGAAGGCATCAATGATAAGTTTTTAATTGGAAGATTTTGTAATTATAATTACCAAGGAGTAGTATATTCTACTCAACCTATTATGACTTTAGTTTATATTACCAAATGGAAGCGTTTTGGAAACGGAAGAGGATTTCATGCAACGTATAAATTTGTGCAACCAGTTCAAAATATTCAGAAGAAAGGTATGGTACATTTTAACAATTAAAATAAAATTAATAAAAGTATTTGTCTAAATTTGAAAATAAAATATTGTTGATGAATGAATTGTAGTCGGTCCTTGGTTAACACAATAGATACATACGTTCCTTGATAATAGCTAATGAAATGAAAACATGCCAAGCAAATTTCCATGCCTGATACAAATTTAGATCAAATAATCAGTCAATTGATTCCCTAAATCATGTTTGTTAAATAGATTCATTTTGTGGTCTTATGCATGTTAATTTTTTCTTTAATTCGCCTTTTATTTTGTTCTGTACTCACCATATATACAGTATGTAGATTTTTAACTTTAGATGCTATTCAGGCTAGATGTTTATTCCTTCATCTTGTACCTGTCTGTCAATGCTTATGCTCAAAGACATGGATGATTATTTATTCTAATCTGTGTCTTTGAGGAAGGAATGGAAGCTCTATTGGTGCTGCTTGGAATACTGTAAGGACAGCCTAGTATTTGTACAGTCGACCCCCCCATAACGCTGTAGATACGTTCCGATCTTTATGAAATTGATGTTCTACGAGTCCTTAAATACTTGAGTCAATCACAGCTCGGCACGTATGCACTTTACGGACTACGGCTGTTTGAAAGGTTTTCTTCCATAAAATTAATCAATTCTAGACTAATTCGACTCAACATTTCCAAAATACGTATAATTTTTTGGAAATAATCCATATAAACTATGCTATAAACAAAAAATTGTAGGATTACTTACCGAGCGTGCACCGTTCGACGACGCCATTGCTTAAGCTTGTTTTCGCCGTGGAGCGGTGCATCGAATGGCGCTCGCGTGCTTCCTGATAAATTATTTTTCTGCGAAAACTTTGATAAGGTGAACCTGCCAAGTGTATCAAAAGTCAAGGCTGGGTAGAAGAAATGGACGTGAGCAGGTTTCAGTCCCTCGTCATCTTGTTGTTTGTAGTGATTCGGAGAAAGTCAATTGGAGTTGGCATGTCGACAGCTTCAATTTGGGACAGAGTATCAACAATGATATTCCCGAGCTCTTTGATGTGCCGAATGTCTATCGTGAATTGTAATATGAAATCTTGTTGCTAGATCTGGCATGGCAAATCGTTGTATGTCACTTTAAAAAGGTGAAGGTATAGATTATGAAATGTCGGCCTTCAAGCATATGACAGAAATACTGGATAGCTTTATATGCTGTGAGTAGCGATATAAAGTTTTCCATATTTTCTTCCCATTTAACACTTAAATAAGAGCCAGTTTCTTACTGACAGTCCTCTCAGGAGTCATCTCTTCTCAGTAGATCGTATATGTGTCATCTTGCCATAAACAAACAAAACAAACAAACCCTCCTGGATTTTATCGGCATCCTTAATAGATCTTTCAACTAATTATACCAAAAATGTAGCACGTAGACTAATTCAAAAATTATCCATTAAAATGAAAATGTGTTAACTAAAGGCACGTTAACCCAAGGAGTGCGTGTATAATAAAAACACTGAATAGCTTTTAAAACATTTTAAAATTATTTTAGTAATATTCACGATAAACTCAACATTTTTTTTATTAAAATAAAATGCATTGCATTTTGTATATCTTGCAGATAATTTTAAGATTCTGAAGAATATTGCTAATGGAAAACTAACAAAGCAGAGCAGCACTTTAGAGAAGCGCTATTCTTCTTTAGCTGTCGACGGCAGATTAAACGGTACAATGGCAAGCGGTTATTGTACCGCCACCAAATTTGAAAACGAACCCTGGTGGCAAGTAGATTTACAAAAACCGTATTTTATACACGGTGTAATTATTCACAATCGTTTGGACTCGCCGACACTGGTAATCGGTATTCGTTACGTAATCATTTCTTGTGTTTGCCAATGATATAAAATATAAAAAACTCTTTTGTTTAGAAATCGAACAGTCCTCATATTTTAACCTGGCCTCAAGGACTTTATGGTCTTCCGATGACTGCTTCCGGTTGTCCTTCTTCCATCGGTTTCTCGTGGGAATCTGGCTTACGCTTCCATGCCATGAAGTACGAAATTTTTAAAGAGCATAGTTTTCCTCATTGGTCGGATGGAATGTTATTGAAAGGCATGTACAATATTTGTATTTTCTGAAGTCGTCTATTGTTAGTTATTAGTTATGTAAAACTAATTTATTAGACTTACGTATGACTGGCGAGTTTCAACACCAGTATCCTACGTATAAATTAATTTTACTTTACATAATAAATTACTTATATATACTATAGTTTATGTAAAGTAGTAATTGTTACTCAGCATCTTCAGATTAGAAGGCCACAAGCTGCAACTGTTTATAATTAGCAAAACAATGCTTAACTGTGTTTTATAATAACGAGTAACATTTTAGACATAGCGTTTTGAAAATACTGTATAAAAACGTTATTACAAGTTAAGAGTATTTACCACGGGATTTGGTAGTCATTAGCAATAGGGATTTCAAAGACTGGAGGAGAAATGGAATTGGCCTACATCAATACTTCTGGTTGAGTGTAAGTATTTTTAGATATCAATGTAGAAATTGTCTTTTTCTGGAACACTGTGGTAGGAAATTGGTTTTTCTTTTATTTGAACTTATCAAACAAAAGAACCTTAACAACACTGCAACATTAGAAAGTACTCAGCAAACCACAAAACATAACATACAAATAACACCTACACTGCAACTACACTGCATTGATATTATGCATTATCTGTGTTAGGTTTTTTCCAAGCCGAACTTTTTTTTGTTCTTCCTCATCTTCATGTAAGCTCTATCAAATAGCCTTTGATATGATGTGTGAAAGCAAGGACCTAAAGCATTTTAAAGGCTACTAAGTACGGACCTCAGATAAAAAAAATTATATCAAATACACAGCAGCAGCTTTCCTTCTAAATGAAGTATTTATTTTTCCATTATAATCACATAATTTTTTTGTACTTACACAGAATTTATTATTTTTCGGATATAAATTACAAAATTTACTTTTAACTTTTTTAGCATTCTGGTTATTATTCTAATTACCTAAATTAAACAGCTGACCTCCGATTTAGAGTTACTAAACTTTGAAATTCAATTTTGACCCGTCTTCAGAAAAGGTTTGCCATTGCTGATCTTTGCATTTCTAATTGTTATCTCCACTCACTGTAAAGAATTGTGACTGAATCAGAGTAATTTGTTTTGGCCACAAAGTAGTGACATCACTCTATTGTCGGCATTTGTTACGAGATGAATTGAAGCAGGTGTTTATGATGAATTAATTAAAAATTCTTTGCTGCTTCAAATATTACATGACTATAAATAAATATTACAACTCATTTCATAAATCTTGCCCGGTCAGTAAAACTACTGTAGCAGAAACAAGTTTATTTATGTAATGAAGAGAAATGATTGTAGACAAATGTTTGCATAGTCACTGTAAGGTACTAAAAAGAGGCTCTTGAACTAAAAATACTTTCAGAATCTCAACTGAGTATCATCCATTATCGTGCCAAGATACCTAGAATAGTCTCTACGTATATATTTTTAAATCTTTCCTCCTTTGGGCACTGAGGTTCTTTATCAGGTCCATTTTGGGCCTACAAAAGATTCGTGTAGTGAGGGACAGGTCGAGATCTCTTCTTACATAAGAACATTTAAAAACTTTTATGCTTATGCATATAAAGAAAAATGTGTTGCATGACATTGAAGTTTCAAAATTTTGTGTGGGTGGGATGTTGGTGCATTGCATCTGTAATTCTTTTTACGTGCCAGTAGAAAGCATTTTCTAATGGCGATTTAAAGCCCAATTTGCCACTGGAGTGATTTGATTTAATTTATTTTTAATTTTTAATAGGAGGCTTGCAAATAGGTGGTGGTGTCAAACAACATTTTTGTATGAAAACTAAAGAAGCATCTGTAAACCATTCATTACGATGGATGCCGGGTCAATACTGTATCTATCAGTTTGGCGACAGCTGTCCCATTGGTTTCAAAAGCGGACATATAACTTGGTACGAGAAATCGGAAGGAAAATTCAAAAGTTATAGTAAAAATACAGTTCCTAAAGGGGAATACACCAGTAATAGTACAACTATATACTTCTGCTGTAGAAGCGATCACAATCCCGACGTTGCCATCAGATTGCCAATTAGTCAACCATTTTATTTACTTCAATTCGGTAGTAGTTGCCAGAAAGTGCAAGGCATGTCAGAAATCGAACAATACTTTCATTTCAATGACGTCAAAGTCGAAACTTTAGAGAATTTCAAATTTAAATTTAAAGCTCCTTATCCAAGAGTTGATACGACTATATTTGAAAATGGATTCACCTTATATTATTGCTACTACGATATAAGTAAGTAATTTCTCATTATCATATTGTCGTTATATAGAAAAATGACAAGACTTTCTTTTATTTTAGCATACAGTCTACGAGGTTTTAATGTGTTGGTCGACAATACCGGAATTATTTCGTCCATTGGACAATATTTTGATAACAGACATTACGGTATCCGTCATTTGGAAGAAAGGAAATTTCAAGAGGCTTACAGATGCGCCTCTTACCCTGTAACTAAAAACGAGCCATTAATGGTACATTTGAACTGTTCTCAACCCGTATTAGGGCAGTATATAACAATACAAATGTATAACAGATATGACAGTTTACAGATCTGCGAAGTTGAAGTATTTGGTGAAGGTAAAGTATTAAAATCATGTATTGCTTAACTTTCTTACTTATATTAGTTATTAAGTATGAAAATTAAGTCAAACTTGAGCTAAGAATGTTTATATAATAATGAAGCTTCGTGGCATTCTTAATTAATTATAAGAACTAATAAATTAGAAAAAACAAGAACATTTAAATGTCAATGATTAGAAGTTTTATCATCTTTAAATTTGTAAATAACTGTGCCATTACAATCATATTTATAAATATGATGGCAATGCAGGACTGGAAGAGGCAGAACCTTCCACCCAAACTAGCCAGCTTCAGGTCATCTTTGCTCAATGTATTGGGGCACTGTCGCGGTAGTATTGGACCTTGTCAATTTTTTTTGTGCTAATTTTCTGGTGGTCAACCGCAGAAACCCCCGGTTTTAAACGATAATTCTTTGAATATTAAATCATTCGGTAAATCGAAAGTACTGTATAAATGTTATTGTAGATATATAGTTATATATATAAATTTCAGAGGCTTGCGGACAGCCACTCGGCATGGCTTCGGAAGAAATATACGATTCTCAAATAAATTCGACATCAAACGACAATGATTTTCTGAGTAAGAATGCCAGATTAAACGGGAAGAGCGGTTGGTGCGCATCCGAAGAGGACAAACTCAAGTATATAACGGTCAGTTTTTCTTGGAATAATTTTAAATTTTATAAAAAAAAGTTAATGAATGAATGCTAATGTTTTAAAATTAAGAACATTAATGGGTTTTTAATCATTCTCGAAATGAATTAATCTTTAGATAGATCTTAAGAAACCTACAACCGTTACCGGAATTATCCTTCAAGGTGATGCCGAAAAGAGAGGTTTCGTTAAAAATTTTCATTTATCGTTCAGCAACAATGGATCTCATTGGACTTACGAAGAAGAACCTGTCGCATATAAAAAGGTTTCTTTGATTTTGTTTCGAATCATTTTTTCTTCTCGTCTTTAAAATTTTATTATTATTGTAGATTTTTCTATTCTGTCGTCATCGTGCATTAGTCCACATAATTTATATCACTTTTAGATTAGTTTTGCTTTATGTTAATGCTGGATCTACATTTCTAGTATTCCGAAGCTTGAGAAATTACGGGTGCTCCTTTCTGTTTGTTGTTTGTTTGTTAATTTAAGTTATGGCAACGCAACACTTGGGCGATCTGCCTAGGGGGATGCCTTCCGGGAGGTCTTTTTAAGGGAAACTGGCTCCTATTTAGGCGTTACAGACATGGAAAAAACCCGGAAAACTCCATGTGGCCAGCCCGTCCGAGCGAAACGCGAACCCACGACCGAACTCCCAGTGTTTAGAGAACGAAGACCACTTGGCCACTGGTGGGCCGCCCCTTTGTGACCGGCCCGTACTGCATTTCATACGTCCTCAAAATTAACTCATAATTCAAAATCATATTTCAAAATACTCTGAGGGATTTGGGTGCTGCACGCCCCCAGAGAATTTTGAAATACGACCAATTATGAGTTAAATTTGAGAACGTGTGAAATGGATATTAGAGTTTATCCTACGAGGCCAGATGGCCGAACAGTTAGCGTGGTACCTACCACTCTGGAGGACCCAGGATTAAATTCGGACAAGAGGAAAATATCCCTGGTATTTTTTGAGGAGATTGTCCGGATACATCGGGCCCCGTCGCCCGGCTGCCTCGTTGTGGGCTTGGCTGAACCCATAATGGGCTTGCTAAAACGGATCCTTTTAATGCCCACAGGACAGAGTTACAAAAAAACAGCATATTCTAAGGACAATATCGAGTATTATAACCCATTGACTTATGATTCTATCAATAAAATACCCTTATTTTAACTATAAAACATCATGTTTGTTGAAAATTAACTCGTTAAAAAGAGTTGCTTCCGGTGTCCCTCCGGAATTAGGAGTCCCAAAGCTTAAACTTTGATAATTTTACAGTAGATCTGCTTTGTGTAAAATTGGCATTTAAGGTTAGAGAAAATAAAATAAACCATGGCTACATTTTATTTCTTATATCTTGCCATCTATCTGTATAATACATCTATAATAGGCACAATTGTAACTAACCATGTAGTCATAATGTGAATTAATGAATTAATCACCCAATTCTTGGCAAAGAAGAATTGTAATTAAGAGTACAGTTGTAAAGTATTACACAAATCTCTCAGCTGTGTGTAGTGTCATTGAAAATAAAGAAAATGATACCAATCTTGAGTAATAGGAAAATTCAGTGCTTTTTGACAACAAGACTGATTTACATAAAAATTGACATGCATAATCAGTATCAACTAACTAACTGCTGCTTATCATCTATAATGTAGAAAGAAAGAATTTCAGGACAGTTTAAAATGAATGACCGGAGAGAGGGGCTCTAAACGTAAGAAAATTATCAACTCATGCTACCTTATTGCTACGTGCATACGAACAGCTATATTTTTATTCTTCTAATTGGTCCTTCCCTTTCTCCAAAACTATAAATCTCTGAAAACTCTGTTCTTGGTGCCCTTTTCAGAATCACTTGTTAACTTCATTACGAAGATGGAGCAAGATTATTCATTTCCCATTCTTATATCTCCCAATTACCTTTTTCCTCAAACTAAGTCTCTACCAACTCCTGGTGTCATTTTTGTAATTCCTCGTTAAATTCGTTTTATATTGTACAATATCTTTGGAGGATGAGAACGAATTATGAATTCCACATTTCTCCTTCTTATTGTTCACAGACTTACACTTCCATTTCTCTACCTTTTTTTAAATCACCAGTTCTCAAAGCCAAAGAAATAAAAGCAACTTTTCCTTCTCAATCTCTCCTTTTCTTATCCTTTTACCCTTTTTTACACAAGTGGCTTCTCTCGTCCACATGCTTCAAATCAAAACAAGTGAAAGAAGAAAAAACAAAGAAATTAAGCCGATATTAATACAATTAAAATGCTTAACACTCATTTAAAATCTTACTTTTTCACTATATTATGATGATTTGCAATAATTTAATATTTTTGATGAAATTATTGAACATATTTTCATAGTATACTTTATTTAATTACTCTTAACTTCCTAATTGCTATTCTGTGCAGTCCATTACAAAATTGATAATAAACTCAAATAATTATGCATTTAAGATTTCTTAATTTCGATTTAATTTCAGAATTACACCTGCAAAACTTGCAATCCGGAAAGATATTCAAATGATATGAACATTCGTTATAATCTTCTGAGAGGAATTAAAACTCAATTTGTACGATTCGAAATATTAAGTTATCATAATTTTCCTTGTTTAAGAATGGAGATTCTTGGATGCAGAAATGAAGGTTGGGAATTGTTTCATAAGTTTAAATTTTAAATGTATTTTTGTTGTTTGTACACTCAAAATTTAGAAATAAGATTATATTTTACTATTTTTATTAATTATTTAATAAATTTAGTGTAAAGGTCAATCGGAGTTGCATCTAAATCTTCAACTCCTTCAAATTAGGCAGCTATGTTACCATATGCACTAGTCGAGTCTTCATCTTCATCATCAAATATAATTTTAAATTTATCACATAATTAGGTTAAATTCCCATTATACAAATCCAAGTCTGAGTGAATGTTGTGGAAGGTCCTGAAACACTTCGGGCTATGGTCTCTCAATGGTACCTATCTAGTCATAATTAAAAACTACTAACTAGCTACTCGGTTGACCATAATTTGGCATGGTACAGTACATATATATGTACCGTGCTAAATAATTCTGACTTTGGTTTTATTATGTAATTATTAATTATGAAAATAGTAAATAGTTAACTTTTACATTGGCACTTATTTGCAGATGTCTGCGACGAGACATTTACAGAACCCGAAGGAACCATACATTCGCCAAATTATCCATTTTATTACGGTCAAGATAAATCTTGCTGGTGGAAAATAATGCCTCCGCCCGGTCTTCACGTTCAAGTCGATTTCATAGTGTACGATATTGCGAAACAAGAAATGATCGAACACAATAGCAGTTGTCAGGATCAATTATTCTTATATCCGGGAAGCAGCAACGATACTGTTATTACTTCTCCCTATGGTAAATTCTTTCCAAAACAAGTGACTTCGATAAACGAAACTAGAATACACCTCAAGACGTGCATCAGATATTCCATGAGCCGATATCGGGGATTTTTGGCAACGTACAAATTTGTTGGTAAGTATTAAAATTAATATTATACATCTATTTTATAAACATACCTTGTAATTGCATTTTAAAAATTCCACTTCGGTAAAACGAGTAAACAATTTTCATACTTTTAAAAGTCAAGATTTATTCAATGCACAAATGGTTTGATTCTCCAGCTGTTGTGTTTATAACACAAGAAAGTATTGTAATCGTGCTTCTGGATATCACTACTGGATGGGGCATATGTGCTGCGGTTGTTTGTTGCAATCAGTCAACGTGTTGGCACTGTTCGAAGAAGAAAACGAGTAAAGTGAAGCAGCGAAGGGAGGCCAGTATTTAAACGAGACTTAATTTTCTAATTATGAGTAATTGTTTGTTTTGTGAGCAATAAAATAATTTAAAAATAATTTTTAACGATACAATAGCGACAATTATTATTTAAAAAAATTTGTTAGGTTTAACATTGATGAAAATTCAACGCGAAGTTGGTTAATAGATATATACTAATATACTAATTACGTGGGATATACTAATATACTATACTAATGTATTTTTTTCATTCTTTTCGGTTATCCGATTAACCTGAGTCCCAATTGAGTCGGATAATCGATGCTCTACTGTAATTAAAAAATCTGCTTTCATGTCATGTCATAGCCGAGTATGTAGTCAAAGTTGGCACTTTAATATTACGCGTATGGCCCAGCTGTATGATTGAAGAAAAGGATCTATAAGAGAAAACACACTTTAAAACTATTATTCTCACTATAATATTTATAATTTATATTATCACACGAATTACACTTTTTCGATTCTCGTATAAAAATCCAACAACGTTGCGTAATTTTCCCGATCAGACTTTAAAATTGCGTGTGGCGCTATCTGTTACGATATTTTATTTTTAACACTCTTTTATATTATTAATCATTACGAAACGCCATGTTTACAATAGATTGGGCTATAAAAACATCCGTTATTCCGAGTTACGGATGCGCTAAAAGGAGGTAGAATTATTGATTTGGCGGGACGATGAGAGATTCATTGTCCGTTAAAACGACATTCAACCGTATTCGAATTATGGAATGACGACGAATGATTTATTTTTCGGCACGATTATCTTTTAGCGTATAAATGCATTAAATACAGTAGATTTCTCATATTAACAAAGTCGATGATGAAATATAATGCATTGCCAAAAGAAGCCCCGGACCAACTATGATTGCCGAATTATTCATATAAAACAATGCGAAATTACTATAGTAGTTCTATGGTAATTCACGCATTCAAAATTATTATAAATCCATGTAATTCTGCGTTGATTAAAAAAATAATGCTAATTCGCGGTGTTGGCGTTCTAACAAATTACAGGAATAAGATTTTCTTCTGGGACTTCAATTGTAAAGAAAATTTATTTGTCAAAAGAAAAAGAAACTTCGAAAAGTAACAGAGAAAATGTCGAGCACTTCGGGAAATGTTGAAAAATTTTTTAAATCGAATAATTATCAATTTCCATTATTCGACAACACTGAAGTCGTCCTCCCCTTCCTTTTCTTCGACAAGGACGCGTTTTATGAGGATAGCTTCCGGGGAGTTTGCTTCTTCCGTACTTGCCTTTTTTAATTCTGGCAACGTCAGTTTTGTATCCTCTTCGTCGGGTGATATAACACGCACCTCGGGTTCTTCTATTTCTTTTTGTGGCGTTGCGTGTCCTTCGGACGCTTCTATTTCGTTCTCTTCTGTAATATTTTCTTTGGGTGTTATAAATTCTTCTTGCAGTATTTCTTGTTGCTCGGATGTTACGCTTTCGTTTTTTAAAGCTACTTGTACGTGTTTGTTAGATGGCACTATTTCTTCTAGTGACAGAAATTTTTCGGATATTTCTCGTCCTAACGGTTGCGTTTCTTCTTGTGACACCACTTCTAGTTCAGATTTTTCACTTTTGTCTTTTGAACCTACGTTTTCTTTAGATGGCACCATTTCTTCTTGTGACATAAATCGTTCCGATATTTCTCGCGGCAGTTCTTCTGATTCCGCTTCCACATCTGTAGATTCTATTTCCTCTTCGTCCGTTTTAACCTCTTTACATTCGTTCGATTTATCCACTTCGTCGACACCGAATGTTATCTTGGCTTCGGTCGAACTTCCTTCCTCGCTTGTTTCTGTTTCCGTGCTTTGTAACGGTCGATCTCGACTTTCGTCCTCCGTGTCTTCTATATTTGCTAACTTCGAAACTTCTATTCTACCATTAAGAAATTCATACAGTGGGATAAAAAGAAGCTTGCAAATATAATTAGCAAAAGCCTCCGAAGGATCAAAGTAATACCACATCAGCAGAGAATACTTTAGAAAACTGTACAACGGTACACGCGAAAGCAAAAACTTTAAGCGAGAACCTCCTTCCAAAAATGCAAAGAGTGAAAACACCATCCAATAAGTTAGTATCTTTCTATGGACCGGGTCGACGGCGGAACAACTGGTTCTTCTCGTTCGATGTATCGTTTGAACGGTGGTATATGCCACGGTAAGGATCGAACCCAGCTTATGTGCAAAGATTGCATCTATCCACGTAATTATTAACAGTAGCAGAAACGCTACAGACCAACAAGCCGCTCGAGTAATTCTACTTTCATTTTCCAAAAAAGAACACGTCGAACGAAAACAGGAAGACATTTTGATGATTGTTAATCAGAACAATAATACAATTTATCGTTTATCCTACCTTATTGTTGCATCGGTCGAGTTACATATTTAGCACAATTTAAACATAATACAGTCAAACGTTGGTTTTCGAACGCTCACTTTTCAAAAAACGTCGACGGCCAATCGACAGGATTACAGATTCAGATCGCCTGGCGTCATCAGACGTCACGATTCGAATAATCGATGACGTTGCTTTAAATTAGATTTCAATGCACGTGCAGGAAAGATACGATTCTCGTTTTTCGGTACGCGCCTCAGTTGAATTTAAGTGAAATTAATTAATAGAAATCGCGTTAATTGACCTTTGTGTAAGACAAATGGCATCCGAGTATTCGTGTTAGAGGTTAGGATGAATGAAATTGTCTCTCTTACGAGTATTTGGTTGGTACGATGGGTTATAATATAATACATTGCATTTGTATATTTAAAAGATAGGAAAAGGCTTTGATGGTCAGGAACGAATTAATCCATTTTATATTGTTTCCTACGGGAAAAGTCGTTTGGATTTTAAAACAACTTTTAGGAACCAATTATGTTCGAAAACCGCGGTTTGATTGTAACTAATTTATAATGGTTTCATCTCTTATTTTTTGTGAATCTATTTACTTTCTCGGCTGTTATATGTAACAGAGGGAAATTATGGCGATTGGTTAAAGAATTACCCCGAGATTTTTACATTTTGTGACTCGGAGACCTTAAAACATCGAGAAATGAAAAAATTGTCGGAGTTTTTTCTCTGTATGTATATAATGTTCGTGGGAAGGACAGATTTTCTTCACCCAATTTGAAGTTTTTAATATTTCCTGTGGTTTTTACGAAATAACTATATAAACACTGCTGGCTGCTGGCTCAGAAGGGGCAAATTTTTTTTCTCCATCTCGAGCAACTGCCCTCCCCGAGATCGAATAAAAAATCGTAAAATCAGTTTCTGGATTCGAGTAAAAAATACACAAATAATAAACATAACACTGATTTAGGTACGTAACTTTACACTCTCGGCCACGGGACTGTTTGCCAGCCTTTTTGTGTTGATATAATACTATATTGTGTAATCTACTTGTGAAAAAATCCTCAAAACATTTAATAATTAAATAAACATTTATTGATGTGATTATCTCCGAGCTTTTCCTCCCCTGGAAAGTATTCTGCAGTCGCCTAGTCAAGAAACAAATATATTTTATCAATTTCTTTTATACTTGCGGAATAGACTAGATGTCGTGCTTTTTGTGTTGTTTGTCGATAATGCAATTTGGGCTCCCATGAAAATTAGGAAAAGAGGCAACCCCAACGAAAAGGAGGCAATTTGGGACCCTTTGGATTTTACATCGACTCCGAAATCTCGATGTTCACAATAGTCCTGGTAATCCTCAGCTCGATCACTACGAAGAAGCAAAGACAATTTTCACTTATAGAACACATTCCTACTCCCCTTCCAGTTGGACCACTTTCGTGTGATTAAAATGAACGTTCATTTTAATCATAGAGATTACGTAGTAAATATTATTCAATTAAGTAATAGGGTACTATTTAAACATTACCTGGTAATGATCCTAAAGGTGGCAATTTTATCTTATATTAAACTTAAAATGCCTTTATAACAATAAAAATTTAAGCATTGAAAAAATTAAGAACCTGTTGTTCTAAAAACAAATATTTTAATTTTTAGATTGTCCGGGATGCGGCAGCGGAGATTTTCATTGTCCCAGACTCCACAACTGCAGTTTCGAGAGTTCGTCCTGCGGCAAAATCGTATCCTACGGTTATCCTTTATCCTACCAACCCAATCATCGATGTCGTTGGCTGATCGTGGCCGAACCCACCCATTACATCAACGTCACCTTCAGTGATTTCGACATCGTGGGAGGGAACAACCAATGCGTCTTCGATCACATCATTTTCTACGACGGAGAGGAGAGCAAAGAGGATAATGTCATAGGAAAGTACTGCAACGAACTGCAACCGGGAAAATACGTGGTGTCTAACTGGAACACCCTACTCATCGAATTTTCTTCCGATGCCGAGCACGAGGGTCGAGGGTTCTCTTTGACTTACATCGCGCAGAAGTACCAATTGCCAAAGGAAATTAAAAACGAACAGTTCGAAGGTATTCTCGCGCGTTTGTTGGTAGCCAAAGAAAAAATTGCAATTAATTATTTTGGTATTTTTCCGGCAGACGAATCTTGTCCGGTGGGATGGAAATATTATAATAAATATTGCTATAACGTGTTTCACGAAGACGATCCTTTGCCATGGTACGTAGCCGAAAAGAAATGTACGTTGAAGGAACCCGGACGTAAAGGGCATCTCGTCAGCATTGTCGATAAGAGGGAAATCGCTGTCGTTCATTACTTCTTAGTGACTTACTGGGATTCCAGGCACAAAACTTTATACATAGGTAATTGTTTACGTAAACGCTCTTATTTGTAATTATAGTTACGCCACACGCCAAAAACCAGCCAAATCAAAAATCCTTTATACCAGTGGTGTGTTATCTTGTGGGCAAAAGCAACCGGTGAAAATGCGCATATTTTCTTCGGAAATACTTTGAGTTGTGCACTGGTGCAGTTCTCTCCCTCCTTCGAGAACTCTTCTACTAACTGGTGTCAGAGCCACTGCACGACGCATTCTCTAACTTTCGCATTTTGGGTAAATCTGTTTCCCAATGCATCCTTCGGAGGACCCGTTTGGTCCTCCGAAGGATTGCGCAGTGACAAATCCGGTCGATTGATTCCGTTGTGCACCGATACCAGCCAAGACTACTATTCTGCGGGTATAACATTGATGCCAAAATGATGAGGGGGCACGAGTTGTTGGCACGTGGAAGAATAACTACGGCAAGAAACAAATTAGGACAACAAAACCCAACCCGTACGGTTTTATCGCCATTACTTACAGAAATTGAACTGCCCTCGTATATTTTATTGAATAATTTTTATAAAATTGTATATGAATAAAATAAGTATATTTTTTAATTATTAGGTTTGAATGACGAAGCGAGAGAAGGAATTTATAGATGGAGCGATGGAAATCCGATGATTTTTACCGACTGGTAAAGTATTTTCTATTATAAAAATAATTAATTTACGCACACGCGCACTCTCACGTTTACGTGTAATATATGTACTGTACAAAATAAACTCTCTTAAGTCAATTAGGGTGAGAGTTATGGACCAATTTCGAATTGCAATTCGAAATTGGCCCATAACTCTCACCCTAATTCAGTGTTTCCCAACCTTTTTTGTGCTATGCCCCACCTAAGCCTTTGTAAAATTCTTATGCTTCCTAACATATACAGCGGCTATACGGTTAACAAACTCTGGACGAGTCCATTTTCGAATTGCCCCCTTAACAATCCAATTGCCCCCTATGGGGCGTGGGCCCCACGTTGGGAAACCTGCCCTAATTGATACTGGGCAAAATGCAACAGATTATAAATACGAAAATATAAATTCTTTTTTCTAAAATTTATCTGAAAACTATATTAGAAATAAAATTTAAACAATGAATGAACGTACTTTTTTTTAATTTTTAAAGGTCTCCAGCAGGTGGAGGTTTGCCCACCCAACCGGACGGTGGTGCTTATCAAGATTGTACCATGTTGCGCATGGACAGCATTCATTCCACTGCTCTGTGGCACGACATACCGTGTTCTTTGAGAAGTTTATCTTATCCGTATTCGAATGAGTATTATTTAGAGAGCAACAGTCTGCCGAAAACCACCTTAAGAGACTCTTTACCGTCAGTCAACAGTTTCATATGTAAAATCCAGAGTAATAAATTGAGAGGTATGCGGTTTCCATTTTGAATTTAAGGAAGTTAGTAAGCGAAATCACATTTCTGATACTTTTTTAATATAGATTCTACTTACAAAGCAAAACACTTGTATCAATTAAACACTCAGTCGGTACACGTTAACGTTCTGGAGGAAAAATATTTTATTTGCAGAAATAAAGAAGTTATCTCGAATTTCTTCGTATGCGACGGAGCAGAAGACTGCAGAGACGGAAGCGACGAAGAAGAATGTGGTTAGCGCTCGTAATTTTCAATATTTCTAAATGAACTATAGCTCTGTATATCTATTAATTACACAGGGTGTTTCGAAAGGTAAGGTCGATTGGACAGGTGTGTAGAATAAATGATGTACAAAAAGTTTCCTTATATTTATTATGGTTTAGTAAAGATGATTTTTTAATTTTGTCATCACCTTTTACTGTTAAAAATCGGACAATAATGACCGTATTAACAAGACAAAGTACACTATCAAAAGGGCAACCCGACAATGTTTGATAGTTAGTGATGCAGATGTTTAAAACGGCTTCCTCTCGCGCTTCTTGGCACACCCACAAATGAATGCCACGTGTTGTTCGACGGCTGGCACCCTACTGCCCTACTTCTGCTGTGGCAGTACAAACTTTTTGTATAAGTTGTTAGTTTTCTATCTCGGAATTGTACACTTTTTCCTTCGTTCAATTAAGAAAAGGTTCAGTGGTCTGTTACTTCTAGTCTATTGACTTAGGCTACCTTTCGATACACGCTGCACAAAATCTAAAATATTTTGTTAATTGCATAAATCAAAGATTAATAGATAAACAAGTTTTTTTAAATTATATATTAATTTTTTATTGTTATTATTAAAGGAACCAGTCAAAAAGAGAGCAGTTTTCAATGCGGAAACGGACGAAGCATATCGATTTCGGCTTATTGCGACTTTAAAGACGATTGCAGTGATCGCTCGGACGAGTCTCGTTGTGGTAAGTTCTCGTTGGTAAATATCTTCCGTTAATTCTCGAAAAAAAATTCCACCGTATGCAGCAGTGCTTATGGCGTAACGCAATAAAAAATTGACTTATAAAACGTAAATAGTGCACTAAATTAATCGATGCACCTTTTAATAGTGGATGAAATTTAAGGCTAATATTTACGTAAGGTAACAGTTTTTGACCCTAAAGTGGATTAAAGATAAATTGTTTGCTAGACCCCCGCATTGCAGGGTCTAGCTAGGTATGTTACCATAACCAAATGCTAGTGGTTTGGATGTATTTTACATCTTTGTTGTTTTTTGGCATTCTGTTTATCTTGACTGCATAAATTTAAATGAGATTTTCTGACGGATCTGCAACGGCTAAGATGTAGATCCTTCAGAAAATTTGTGGGGAATTACAGTTTTCCATTACGATACTGTTAAGAGAAACATTATATGGTAAAAGTCGATAGTTTTAATTTTAATGGTGCCCACCCATGGCCGAGGGGATAAAACCACTGAACATGGTACTCGGTGGTGGGTTGACACCCGACGACGGGCTGGCCACGTGGAGTTTTCCGGGTTTACTTTACGTTTGTAATACCTAAATAAGTGCCAGTTTCTGGTTTAAAGTCCCTCGGAAGATAGCCCACTTGTTGCGTTGCAATGTACAAACAATTAATTAAAAAGAACATTTTGATTGTCATCAGACATCAAAAATGCATTTTTCTTTAATTACAAAAAGACTTGTTAAGTTTTATTTTATGTTAAAGCCCACAGAGATTGTACCAAAGACGAATTTCAATGTCGAAACGGCCAGTGCATACCCTCGTCCCAAAGATGCGACCTTCTGTACCACTGTCACGATAACTCCGACGAAAAGCTGTGTTTAGGTATAAATACATTCGAGGATGATACATAAAATTTCAAAAGTTCCATCGAAGTAATTCCATGGTATTTTATTAGGCCATTGTAACGACAATTTCTTTAAGTGTTACGACGGCACGTGCATCCCAAAATACGTCGTGTGCGATGGCCATCGAGACTGTCCGGGAAGATTTAACGAAGACGAAAACGACGTGTGCTGTAAGTGTTTGTTTTCATTTCAACTATAAAATTAAATCTAATAATTAAAATTTTAGATAGGTTAGCCAGGGTGGAAGACATCGAAGGATGGAACGAAACAAAGAACTTATGCTCTAACAGAGGTCTTATTATTATTTATTTATAAAATAAATGAACCTTAAACAATTTATTTACACGCATTTTTAATCCGGCAGCACGTAGAACGTGTCACGATCTGTTTATAAACGATAACATTAACGCTAGTGGATACTATACCATCGATCCCGACGGAAACGAAGGTCCCGTCAGGCCATTCAAAGTGTATTGTGATATAGACAATACCACGAATACGGTTAAAACGGTGATACATCACGATTCGGAACAACAGTTGTACGTTAAATCCGACGTTCAGGGCAAAGGTTATTACAGAAGATCGGTCATCTACGAGGCTGGGATGAACGGAATCGCATCACTTATAAACATATCCTCTAAGTGTCGGCAGTACATCGAATGGAACTGCACCGGAACGGGCTTTCACTTTTACGAAGAAACACCGGTTTCCTGGTGGGTATCCAGAAGAAACGAACCTCAGTATTATTGGGGTGGAGCTCATAAAAATAAAACCTGTAGATGCCATCCGTATTGCTTGAGGCCGGATCTCAAATGTAATTGCGATGCCGTGGGTAAGGATCAAGAGAGTCGAGATGACGGTTATGTCGAAGATAAAGATAAACTTCCCGTCACGGAGGTGAGACAACGCTTTTTAATACTACATTTACTATTTCCGGTGTTAAAATAAACGACTTTTTGTATAGCTAGCCGCACGGATGATAACGGTGATCCGGGGCCCTATGGCAAATTAAACTAGTTATGTAATGCTTTATCAGCGTGTAGTCGGAGCGAGGCTGCTCGCATCTTCATTTTCTAGATTATGAGGGAAAAAAGAAAGAATCATTCATTCTCAACAATATATTTTATTTCTGTTGTATCATTTAAAGGTGCAATATAAGGTCAGAATAAGCTATTATTTAATTGCTATGCCAACGTAACATGAAATTCTGTTTATCACTATGGGCCTTGGACTTACAGATTGACTCGTAGCGATGTTTACTGTAACTGTTTAAAAATCCTATGTACCAATACCAAGAGCTGAGTCATCTTTGGACGAAGGCAGGGCAATATCTGGAGTGTTTTCAGATGCCATATAAGCAACAGGGCACCCAGTTGACTGTAAGTAGTCTTCGTTGCTCTGTTTAACTTGTTCGTTTGTTGGATATAGCTCTACTGCCGTTTGGAACTGATCAAGTTCATCTCTGGATAAATAGGCTCGATAAATAGACGCTGCCAGGTAGGATGTAGCCTTAGTCAGCTCACTTTGACCTCTAATACTGAAGAAAAACGCGATTTTTGTTCCCATCTCCAGTTCTACAAAAATGGTAATTTTTAAGAGTTGAAATTTTAATCAGTTCATCCTTGAGATGATGATGAGTCGTCCTGGAAAATGTCGTCTAGATCGGACAACTCATTCTAGAGTTATAACGTTGACAAGGAATGCATGAAGTCGTGTTAGTCGTCACTCGGCTTCGCCTCGCTCCGACAATTATTACATTAAAGTAATAGAAGTAATGTTATAGGGACCCTAATTCTTTGGGGGTAATTCGCTTCCTTTGTATTCTTCCGGGTGTCCCGTGAATGGTATATCTGTGTTTAGAAAAGTTTGAAGGAAAAAAATGGCGACCCGAGACCAAATTCAGACGGAGAACCCCCAAGAATTTTTAATTTGGCAGTGGTGTGTATGGTTCCATCCCTCACCTTCTGGTCACTTGACGATGGTACCGGCTAAACCCATAACGAATACTATTATGAAATTATTTAATTTTGGGGGGTTTTCACAAGTAGATTATGGAATACAGTATTGCATTGAAATATCCCACGGTCGAAGGTGTAAGTAATGTTGTATATTTCAATCATTTTTATCATAATTTGAAGAATTTTTTACTGGCTCCCAGAGAGGCCGAGTGCCCCATTTGCCTTCTTCGGATGTCCATTTTAGTTTCTGAAAGACCACATATGATACGGAATCAGTTGATCCTGGCGATTTCCTACCTAATTTTTCTCAATTTTTGACAGCTCCGATTTGGGAATACGTTTAAAACGGGTCAGTTTGGATATCACAGATTAGGACCGCTGGAATGCTTCGAAGAAGGTAATTTTCATTCTATAAAAGATCGTGTGAATATTTTATAATAATGAAACCTCGTTTAATGCCAATTGACATACATATATGTCTTTAAATAATATAAAATAACCATATTGTAGAATTTATGATCGGTGATGGCTCGTGAAACTTAAAACACGTGTTAATTTTTATAATGGCGTTTTACTTCTCATAGCAGATTCGGAACAGCTGAACTGTACAAACAGCGTTAATTATATTACTTGTCAGTCCAATCACTTCGTACGTAGACAATACATGTGTCTGTACGAATTCGACCAGTACGGCTATCACATGGGATGTCGCGACGTCACTCACTTGAGAAATTGCGGTAAGAATTTTTCGTCGTAATTGTCGCAGACAAATAAATTATTATACTATTTTATATGCCTACGCAGAGACTTTTACTTGCCCTAAGGACTACGTGAAGTGTCCCAAATCCTATTGTATCCCGTCCAGATACGTTTGCGACGGTAAATGGGATTGTATAGCAGGTGCCGACGAGCAAGATTGCGGTAAGTCCCAAATTTCTCTAATTAATAATAATCAAATATTTAAACCCTTCGCGTTCGGGCTATATGTATCGAGTTATCGAGAAAAGCATGATGTACTGTATGCAAGACACTACTAATTTCAGATCGAGATTACATATTGTAATAAATTAAAAATTGCAGCCCGGCAGTGTGACCATGTCACAATAATTTTTTCTCGTACTCTATTAACTATCTGTGCTGGTGGGCTGTGGGTTTTCACCAACGGGCTGGTCAGGTGGGGATTTTGTGTTTTCTTCACACGTCCGTAGCCTAAATAGATGATATCTTTTTAGACTCTTATTCGTGTCCCGGTCAATATAAATGTTACAACAAAAGTTGCTGCGTACCCCTTCATCAACTGTGCGACAATATTCGCCACTGCCCTCACGGAGACGACGAACTCCTGTGTAGTAAGTTGTGACGTAATTAATAAAGAACACTTATTTAGTAAACCTAGAACACTTTGGCCTAATACAGGAGTAATTTTTTTAACAGATTATACTTGCCCAGAAAAGTGTAAATGCATCGGTTTATACGCTTCCTGTGTCGAAATTAACGCTTCGTCTCTTCCCGAAACTTTGTCTCCGGAACTTCGAAAATTGTGAGTTATAATTAAAATTACGTCTGACGTAAACTTACGCTAATTAATTCCGCTTCTTTTATTAAAATCAGAGATTTCAGCAAAAATGTTCTGGATATGCAGAAAGCCGATTTTAACAGGCTGCGTACACTGGCAGAACTGTAAGTACACTTTTAATTTTCTACTTTTTTCTATTTCTATAAAATAATAATAACGACTGGGCTGCAATTTTCAAAATTGTACACCTATAAATTCCCATTGGCCTCCGTCTGTCCGTCCGTAAGTAATCTCTAGAACGCAGTTAGATATGTGAGGTCGTTGACCCGGTGGAGATTGGGGACTTAAAATCTCACTTCTCGGACACCAGTGTGAGGTTGCCGATTGAGGAGAAAGTGTCGCGACAGTCGAGCGGTCAGCACTGTCGTGTGGGAGTGAAAAAACTTACTGAGACAGGTTCTCCATCTTATACCGTTTAATAAATATAAAAATTTTTCTTACAACAAATCCTTAAAACGGCGTAACACCTATCCAAAGTCGAGCAACAAGTTCGTAACACTGAAAGTTCAACTGTTCTGACGATAGTTTTTCTTCCGGCGATGGAGGCGTGAAGACGTCGACTCCGGGCTACACAACACTATTTGGACCGAGGTCTTCTATCTACAAGGTGGACTTTAGCGATCTTGATGGCACGGGAGGGTGAAGACAAGTCCTCCGAATATCTGACAAGTTCTCGTGGGAAAATGTCCGGATCACAAGAATTCTGGAGAGGAGCACTGCGAACCAAAGGCCAAGAACTACGAACCAAGAACGTCACATCCTTTTTTGCGCGGTTTTTATAAGTTTTTTCTGGGTCCCAGATCGAACATTCCGATAGGTCGATGCCGATCTACCCCCGCTCTCTAATTGGTCCCCCTCCTCGTTACGAATTGTAACGAGACCGGAGCCCAGATAGCGGGGTGAGTCAACTCCGACTGACAATTTGATTCCTATCGAAGATGTTCGATCTAAGTACTCAAATTCATCCATTGTTTTAACCTGAGTAGTTCGACTTTCTTAGAAATTTTTACAGATATGTCCTTATATGGACATAAAATATTCATTTTGCGTTTGACAGTTTCTTTTTACAATANTTTTACAGATATGTCCTTATATGGACATAAAATATTCATTTTGCGTTTGACGGTTTCTTTTTGCAATATAAAATAATAATTATTATTATTAAAATTTTTTATACGAAATTAAAAACATTTTCTGTGCACGAATTTCGACCCACTTCCGGAGTTTCACACATAGATAAAAGCCGAGAGCATACATGATATTGACTACATACGAACTTCCGGAAGTCAAGTTATTTCAATTCAACGATTTTCCCCCAGACAGAGTTATATGAGCGGTACGACTCTATTGTTACAAGGAAAAGTATGACATACAGGGGCAAGATACTATCAATACTAAAACTGTGACGAAAAATTGCAGCCAAGCATTGTGACGTCACGATAAATAATTGCTGGTGTTTTTATTTAGGATCCTCCAGTATAACGACATAACCGAATTACCGGCCAACAAATTTAGTAATTTGGGAAATTTATATAAGTTGTGAGTAAAGTTTATGTCATTCGATAAATTTTAAAATTCGCTGGAACTAATATATACTTTTCCATATTTCTCTAGGGATTTGAGCAATAACAAAATACATTTTATAGCCAGGTCGGCATTCGAAGGATTGAAGAATCTTAAATCATTGTAAGTTAAAAAGTTTAAGTATATTTTTACATTTTTTATGCTGAAAATTTCTTAAATGTATAATAAATTTATGCAATCTGGATGCACCCTGTTAAAGATCAACACAACTCCTATAAATCCAGTCTTATGGGACACCTGGTATATAAATACGTGAAAGCATACTTTAATCTTAAATACTAAAGTGAAAATTTTTTTAGTTTCTTCCTGCACTTTACACAAGTTTCCATTTTATAAAGAATTAAACAGAAAATTTTTGGCAGATGTTCCGTTCTGTTTTAGACAATTTACTCAGTAGCTGATTGTTTCTTCGAGGCCCTAGCGCTTTTGTTATAAGGCCCTTTAAGTGATTTCTTCTTATATCAAAAATACAATAAAATCGTCAATTTACAAGTTAGGTCACCATTCTTACCGGGGTGCGAAATATATAATACGCCTCGGAAAATAGCCAATGCTTAAAGTTTATCTTTTTGCTACGTAATTTTTAGGCACTCGAGACGAGGTCCTAGGCGCGCATCTATTGGGTAATCCGCCACTTGTTTTACCTTATTTTCGAATTAGAGACGTGTCTGACTTTAGTTCTGTTGCAGATAAAGATGCATTCACCCTTTGTATATTTGATCGTACACTAATTCCAAATTTCCCCGTATTTTAGGCACCTGGAAAACAATCCGACAATAACGGAAATCGAATCGGAGGCATTTTACGGCCTGGCCAGATTGGAAAACTTGTAAGTTTACCTTTGTCTTTTGTTTTAGCACCTTATTTTTAACTTCAATAATTTCTTTCTAGCAATTTAACGGGTCTGAGGTTAAACACGTTGAGGAGGAAAACCTTTTGGGGAATGTCAATGCTGAAATCTTTGTAAGTATCCCCCGTAAGTGTTTTAATCTATTAATTATTTGTAATTCGCTCTATTAAAATTAAAATGTTATACGGTAGACACAGTGCTGCTTATTAGAATAAATACGGCATTGTTTCCAACATATAATCAAATGTACGTAACTTTCTGTTCCACTCCTTTAATCGCTGCCTCTTCTTAAACTAAAGATAAAATTGTGTACATTACATGATGGAATGTACACAAGACGACACAAAACTGTAATAGGGACCAGAACACATTCCAGTTCTGGAAAGTAGTACTGTATTTTTAAATAAAACAATAGATGATCCCAGATTGCTACTCTAAAGTATATTTCGATTGTTTAAAATAATTAACTGTTTTACTCCTTTATTTTTAGGAATATCAGCAATAATAATATCTTGCAAGTAGAAAACGGCGCCTTTCTAGGTTTGCATTCCGTAACTGTTCTGTAAGTATAAGTTATTTGTAAATAATTTCTTCCGGTCAAAGGTTAGTTGTGGCTAACTTGTTTTAGAGCTTCTTTGGTGTGCATTTCCTTTATTGATGAAGTACTCTTCTGCGCTTCACCCCGATAATCGAGACTGCCATAAACCAGTACGGAAAAACGATTAATATTCGCGTAGAGCACCGCTCAATTCTCTCCTCGTAGTGTTTTTATTCTTGTCTTCTCCAAATATTTTCCTATTCATAAACTGTACTTTGGTGAAAATATCATTTTTAATGTTTTATTTTGTTTAGGGACATGAGAGGTAACGACATTGCCGATTTTTCTCATCATATGTTCGTGGGAATGAAATCGCTAGTATATCTGTGAGTGGCTGTTGTTAATTTATTCGGGTTTAAGGCGAACGAGAGTAAAAATAAACCAAACTTTTCTACAGATACAGCGACTCGTTCAAGTTTTGCTGTGTGGCCGCCGATCAGATACCGTTCGATAACTGTTGGCCTCGAGGGGACGAAATATCCTCGTGCGAAGATCTGATGAGCAGCCCAGTGCAAAGATCCTTCCTGTGGGTGCTGGGTCTGGTGGCCCTAGTGGCCAATCTCTTCGTCGTCATCTGGCGCATCAAAATAAGAGACTTCAACAGACCCAGCTCTCTGCTGATCATCTCCTTGGGTTTTGCCGACCTGCTCATGGGAATCTACCTCCTCATAATAGCGGTGGTGGACGTTTACTATCGAGGACACTATATCGAAATTTCGGATTACTGGAGGGAGAGTACCCTGTGCAAGGCCTGCGGAGTTCTGTCCACCGTGTCCAGCGAAGTGTCCGTTTTCACTCTAGTGTTTATCACCCTGGACAGGCTAATTACTCTGTCCTTTCCGTTTTCCAGCCAGAGATTTTCCATCTCGCTGACTTATAAAGTGATCGCGCTTTCCTGGTTGATCGCCATGTTGATCGCCGCCCTTCCGTTGCTGATATATCCGTATTTCTTTGGGCAGTTTTATGCCCGATCGGGTGTGTGTCTGGCGCTTCACATAACTAGCCAGAAAGCCGCCGGCTGGGAATATTCCATAGCGGTTTTCTTCTGCATCAACTTTGTAGTGTTCCTGGTCATCTTTTCCGGATATCTGTACATGTATCTGTCCATAAGAAAATCGTATCGCGCGTTGACTCGTCTGAACGCCAGGCAAGTCAGAGAAAACAAAATCGGACGACAGATGGCCCTCATAGTCTCCACCAATTCTCTCTGCTGGTTTCCCATTATACTGATCGGATTAATGGCAATGGCTGGAGTGAAAGTTTCGGGTAACGAAGCCGAATTCGAGTGCCAAAATTTTAAATATTTTTACATACGTTAACTTATTGCGTTTACTTTTCAGGCGAGGCGTATTCGTGGATTGCAGTTTTCATACTTCCCTTAAATTCGGCCACCAATCCCATAATTTACACCATATCTTCCATGAAGTTCATGTCTTCTTTTTGCGTACTTCCGTTTCGTAGCAAGCACGGGACGAATTATGGGAATAAAACGCTTTCGAAAAGCCGTAAGTGTACTTTCCTAGTCCTTTGTCGGAATTACTTTTTTAAATTACGATCATCCTGTATATTACGTGATTGGCAAAATTATGCTTTTAATAGTGGCATTACGAAAGAAAATAAATATTACAAGTGAGAAAAACAGGGAGGAAACCTACTCTGAGTTCTCTACAGAAAATAATAATGGTTAATATAGGAACGTTGTCTCGTCATCCCCCCATCTCGGCCATAAAATTTTACTACAATCTTTTCCAGAACGAGAAGGGAGCCGTCGTTCATCCCACCGTTTTAACTTGGCTAAATAATTATTTAGCCACGTTCCCGCAAAGTTAAACTAGGAGAATTTTTGTAATTTCTCGCGTAACCTTCATTATTGCTTATTCGAATCTTGCCATTCCTTGCGTTAATTCTAAAAGTAAAACTTTGAGCCGAAGTTTTACTTTTAGAATTAATCTCGAAAGTTTAGTCACCTTCCTCGAGTCTCCGCATCTTAAAATTAATTTATCCAAAACTATATCCTTATGTTATACACTATTAAGAAATTCAAATTATTATCCATTATATTTGATTACACGTGCGTTACGTGTGGTGAAATTGTCATTAGTGTATCTTAGTGTATCCTCTAGATTCTAGAACATCAAGATGGCAATCCTTCTCTGCTTCTCATAAAAATTTGTATCCAGAGTTTTGAATCACTTTGTGTGTGAATATTTACTTATTAAATTTTATACATTTTGTCTTAATGTATGTCTTTTGTTGTTGTTGAGTGGCAGTAATCTTGTGATATATACCATTACGTTAACAATTGTAAATAAAATAATGAAAATCAGCTCCATACTTATTCTGGGAAAGACTATACTATATAGTAGTAACCTACAATGAGGTAGATTTTGATTTAAAGTATAATAAACTATATTGTTGCAATCGAGTGACATTTTATAAGCTAATTAATGTACTGTTTTATTGACAAGACTAAGGATTTATTTTGGCAATAGAGAAAATATTCCGAACGCCACCATAAGTCGAAACATTTGGCTTAACGTTTTTTACAAATTCTCTTCTCTTTCCTCTGTTAGTGACCACGAACGGTAACAGGCTGAGGGAGCCACTTCAGGGAAGACCGTTCAAACCTCCGCAAGGTTACCAGTCGCTGGTCCAGTTTCTACGCACCGTAAAACCTCTGAAACCCAGGATGCTGCTGAAGATCGCCGCTTCGGTGTGCAACACGTTGCGAGAACTTCACGCCGACAGTTACGCTCTGGGAGGTCTGAGCATAGACGCTGTCTTCGTGTCGACTCAGGTAATTACACAAATTCCGTTAGTTATTATGCAGCTATTTGTATACCGTATTTACTCGGGCGATCATCGAATGTGTTGTTGATTTAGAAAAACCCGACGGAGAAGGTTAAATAGGTTCCAACTTCGATACATAACTTACCAAACAAATTTAAGAATCGAACGTTCAGAAATTAAAAAGCATTTATATTTAAGCAAACGGGTATATTCGGTAGCCATGGCCAAAAGCAATTGTAATCTGAAAACTTTAAGGCATTTAATTTTAAATAATAATAAATATTAGACATTAATATTTAATGTATTGTGTGTGTTGTAATTAATTTATTCCAAATGAAAAAAACTACAAGTTGCGGACTTTCAATAATGTCACATTGAATCGTCCCAAAATACCGCTAGTTATTTTATCAGTTATCTTGAAGATTTTATTATGTTAAAATATGTTCTGATTAATATTGTTGAAAAAATCTAGACTTTAACAAATTTTAGAATGTGAAGAAATGAGTTCCTATATTTTTGGACAATGTAAGATCACATCTAAATGACAGTAATATAGCCAGTACAGTATTTATATTTTAGTCGATGTTATGTTAAAACGTTTCCTTACTAAGAGAGAAAGGATGAAACACGAATAAAAACATTAGTTTAGATTATTTTGTAACTGCATGAAAAGACCAAATAGACTCCAAAGTTCATTTTTAATAGCATCCTTTTCTAAACTCTTGCCAACATTTATTAGAACATGGTAGAGTTTATTTTGTTACAGGATAAAATTTTACTTAAAAGATTTTCGTGTTGCCAGACATAGGTGTGCGCGGTGTCGACGGTGTAATTATTATAGGATCACCATTTAAAACGTGTATAAAATTTATTAATACAAATACATTATATTTAAAAATTGACTTATGGTAACTTTTCAGGACGATTCCGAAGAAATACACGTGTACGTTCCAGATTTCAACGCATACAGGATCTGCAGTTCTCCCACAAACGACTTCATAAACGACACCGCTATGGACATGGAAGAATTTGGTCTGCTGTTAAAAAAGATGCTGAGAATATATCACGTGTCCACTCGGTCGCGCGATCCCAACCAGGGAACCGCCTGCTAGGTGAGTGAGATTGGCATAGTGAGATAGGTGAGTGAGTCCGTCAGTCAACAACGTCGTCCGTGATGCTGTGGTCGTAAGATACGTCGTGCTTCGCTGTTCTTCCTATTAATTCGGATAACTCTTCCGCCCTCCGTCCCTTCGGTTCCGCCACTTTGACGTCCAGCATGTCTTCTGTCAAAACCGTTCCCGCAGGAATAAATTTGGCAGCCACTATGGTTTTTCCGAGCTAAAATAAATTAAATTTCAGATATTTTCTTCCGAAACGGAAGTTGCTGGTTTGGGTCTGGCTCACAATAAACCAGACCCAAACCAGCAACTTCCGTTTATTGTGTAAATGTATTACCAATTGGCTTATACTTACTGGACCTACATTTACTCTAATGTTTACTTGCTTGCAAACCAATTAATTAGAAGATATGAGGTAAGCGCACACTTGGGTAGATGGGTGTGTGGAAGGAATTGCATAAGTGTGCTTGTACTCGGTCTGATAGAGCAAAGTAATTGGATAAGCCTTTTTCACTGAGTAATATCATTATCAAAGGATGTTATAAATTATCAATACATAATTGTACATAAATGTACAACCACTCAAAAATAAAAAAACTATTTCTATTAAGGAGTGGAGTGCCAGAATGGCTAGTGACCTTAACTGTCAAAACAATACAGTTCGAGTCAGACGAGCAAAAATTTTGCTTTCTCACATCAGCTCAGATAAGTGCACCCCGTATGCTGACTGCATGCCCATGGTCCTTCGTGGCACTCACTGACTTTTAAGCTTTTATCCCAGCATGTTTATATATAACTAGCAGATGAGCCCGAAGTTGCTTGGGCAAAAAATAACAACAAACATTAGATTCTTTCGTACTTCGAACCTTTATATTATATTATAGTATTACCCGCGACTTAATATTATATTACAGCTGTTACCCACGAATTTGCCCGCGCAGATTTTGCAAGCAAACGCCATTTATATTCAGTATATCAGCAACCATAGTAATTGTTATATAACACCTACCGCTGAGAATGATGAGAATTACCAAGAATCAAACGAACTATTTTCAATTTGATCAATTTTCTGGAACGTTTAAAATCGTTCTATAACTGAACCAATATGCAATAACAAATTCGAATTTAAAACGGCTCGAACATTTGGTTAAAAAATCGAAATATATCAAAATATTTATAACAATGTCTGAAATGTTATCAATTTAATACACCTAAGTACTCAATGAAGACTAAACGTAGTTGAAAACAAAAAATTGCATCTAAAATACAGTAGAGCCTCGATTATCCGACTCAATTGGGGACTGGGGTTGGTCGGATAATTGAAAAGTCGAATAACCGAAAAGTATGAAAAAATCCATTATTAGTGTAGTACTGTATAATATNCGAAAAGTATGGTCGGATAACCGAAAAGTATGAAAAAATCCATTATTAGTGTAGTACTGTATATTAGTATATCGCTATTAACCTACTTCGCGTTGAATTTTCATCGATGTTAAGCCTAACAAAAATTTTTTAAAATAATAATCGTCGCTATTGTATCGTTAAAAATTAGAAAATTAAGCCTCGTTTAAATACTGGCTCCCTTTCATGGTCGAATGAGTGTTGCTAGCTAAAACACGTAAAAATAATATTAAAGTAGCCAAGACATAGCCAAATATTGTAGTGCCACATCACTAGCAGACATTTGAAATTTGCCGACTAGGACGGTTGGTTAACCGAGGTGTCGGTTAATCGGGGGTCGGATAATCGAGGCTCTACTGTAGTACAGTAGAAGCCGTTCTTCAGGTTAAGCCTTAATTAAAATTATGCATCTACTTAAATGCCCTGTACCAGTATCTGTTACTCAAAGCCCGACAATGAGAAATTTTTCTTATTATTGGGCTTTAAGTAATAGATACAGGTACAGGGCATTTAAGTAGATGCATAATTTTAAGCTGCTGTTTGAGTGTATGTACACAATAAGATGTACTCATTTCTACTTATAATTTTTGTAATATAGTACAAATTGTTGGGAAGATGACCCTTCTTATTTTTGTCTCGTAAACTTATTCGCTCAAAAAAAGAGATACATGAACATTTATGCATTGCCTTCGAACTACCATGTAATGTTCCATCTGTCCCAAGCACAAAGGCACATATATCTGTCAATGTCCTACATGACAAGAGCCAACATAATATGGGGTCACCTAAAGACATTGAAATTTTTATTGTATGGTCACCTAAAAACACTAATGAGATTAAGTCAGAGCTGTAGAATAGGGCTACATTATCCTATCAGTCTGTGAAACACTGAAGTTTGTCTGCTGAGGAATAAGCTGATGCACCATTATACTGGTACTAAACATGCCACAGTTGCCCATTCATGGGTGTGTGCTAGTCCACCTGAGATGGTAGGGTCTATGTTAGATGAAAGGGTGAAAAGAGATGTGGAAAATGATGCATGGATATGCATCATTTTCCACATCTCCTTTCACTGGTGTCTTTAGGATGTTTTGTTTTTTACAAAGATCAAATCCCATGTCTCCTTCCACCCTTTCACTACATGAACTATGGTCAGAGTGCTATCAATGAATATTGGATCAAACTGCTGTTCATTCTAGATGCCACACCTGGCACATTAGGTATTTCACAAGCATTGTGAAACATAGATGGCAGGTATAAAGACATTCCATTTCAGTAATAAATTGCCTCATCAGTCCGTACAGTGTACTTAAGCAGTTATGGTTAAACCTAGCATAAATTTAGGATCATGTTGTAGCAATGTAAAATTTGGTGTAGTTGTGTCTATTATAGTTGATTTTGTCTTGCTGCTTCATATGCAATGTTTATATGTAAATATGCATATACAAGGTAATCTTTACCCATATACAAGGCAATCCTGGATCATGATCCTGATTATGCTACCAGTTTTCATTGAGTAATGTCTTACATGTAAGTCTTGGGCAGCTGAAAAGCACTTGTGGAATCTGTGCTGCTTGCAAATATAAGACTGCCACAATGCTCTCAGTAATAAGTTTTAATTTCCTTATCTTTTAACATTTATCAAGATGCAAAAAATGATGTTATAAATGATGTTATCATAGTCTAAGCCCAAAATATCAATATCATTTAATATTAATAATTAAATGATATTGTCTAAGATAATGCTGGATTATTATTGGTCATAAAGTGACTAAACATGATCATTAATTAAATGTATACATAATTGTCTGATCTTAAAGCAAAAATTGAGTGGAGTTGCAGGTTTTACTCTGGACAATGTTTTCTTTCAGTATATTCTAAATATTAAGGAATTAATCATCATTGTATTAAATTTAAAGCCTGAGTTAACATTGTTTGAGTAATTCAAAATATTACAAGAGTACTGTCCACAATCAATGTTTTACATGCAAACATTAAATAATGCACATTTCAAGTATCTTGGCCACCACATCATACTCAGAAGTTGGGCTAAGCATGTTTATTATTATTTCCTTCAATTATAAGATAAGAAACAACATGGTCAAAAATAAATACTGAAAAGGAGGTCACCAATCTCCAATAGGAGATGGTATGACCACACTGAAGCAATATTTCATACAGGGGTAACAGCCCCTTAAACTTTTTTGATCTGCTCTATTTTTGAGGACAAATACTTTCTGAAAAAAAATTATTTTTTCATTTATTTCATTAAAACTGAATATGTGAAGCATGAGACTCAATGTATCCAGGACAGGATACCCTTGAAAACTTCCTAGAATAGCTCACGTCTCAAGAGCAGTAGAGCAATGCCTTAAGTCCTAATCTAAATGCATTTACAACACCACATGTTTTGTCTGAAGTTAACAGTAAATATTATAAATATTTTAGCAATTTAGAGAAACTTTCTCATTGTTCCAACTGAAGTAAAATAGAGGAGGTTACCTATTAAATAAATCAAAAATGTTAAGTAGCAAAAATTAGTTAATATGAACACTTTGCTTGTTTATTAGCTTTATCTTTGGCAGAATACTGTCTATACTCTAAGGTTAATTTGAATATTTTTAAAATCTTATTTGTTTAAATAATAATGGTTCTTTAAAGTTCAAAATTTATTGATCTTTTTTCGCCAGCTTTTACCAAGTAAAGTGATTCAAATTAATTTTGACCGAACAGAAGTCATTCTGAGAAACAAATGAGGACAAACAATTTGACATGATTGTTTCAAAATCAAATAAACAGATTTAACTACTTAGTAAATCTATCCGAGTTACAAGAAGGTATGATGACTTTGAGAGAATTTTTCACAATTAATTACATTGTCAATAATTCACATTTCTATGCCATTTAGCATAGTCAAAGTTTCAGAAAAGATCCAGTAAATTTAGTTCCACCATTTAGATTTTAATTTAATCAATTTAATCAATTTAAATTTAATTTTACCAATATGTGTATATTGGTAAAATTAAATTTAAACTTTTTGATCTACATTGATCTGTGTAATGCATTGAAAGTGGAATATCAACTATGACCACAATATAACTGTACATTTCAAGTTAATTTTTATCAAATTTCCACTTCAAAATTGTGTTGACATATATACATATGTTTATTTTCTTTAGCTAATCATGCTTAATAAAATATATAACTTGCAACTTTTCATGAATAGATTGCATTCTGACCATAGCAATGCAACCACAAGAGCAAATATGAGTAATTAATTAAATTTTTATTATGTAAAAGTTTCCAGTAAAACTAATAATTAGAAGAAATTATTTTATCATAACTCAGTACATTTTTGGTTTTATAATTTTAAAATGCAAAAACTAGAAAATTATTCTTCATAATTAATTGAAATGAGTTTTTATTGCTTACTGATAGCCAAATGACAGTCTACTGCTCTGGAGGACTCAGGAACTTTCCATGGATCATTTGTCCCAAATATATTGGGCCTCACCACAAGTATAATTAATATTGACTTCTTTTTATTCCCAAAAGATGAGGAAAAGAGCTATAAGTCTAAAAATGCCAGATGTGGCAAAATGAATCATTGAAATTACATGTTAAACTTTTTATGCTAGTATTGTCAAAGTTAGATATACTTTGAACATAACTACTTACATAAGTTGACAAATAAAGAATTACAGTCGACCCCTCTATAAGATCATTGATTTTTCCGTTTTATCTGAATTACATGTTGTACGAGTCACTTAGATTTTACAAATACGTGTGCCGGACTGTGAATGGCTCACATATTTGTAAAATCTAAGTGACTCGTACAACATGTAATTCAGATAAAACGGAAAAATCAATGATCTTATAGGGGGGTCGACTGTATATAACTTTTCACTGTAAACTTACAAATATCTTGAATTACAGAAAAGCACTGTACAGTGGCATAGCTACATATTCAGTGCCCTGGAGCAAACAGAATTGGTGCCCCTAGGCGTGGATTCAGGGAGTGATGGGGGCAATCACCCCCAAGCTTCCAATATTCCAATAACCCAAAAACTCAGTGTTTAGACATTAAAACTTAAAATTGTCAAACCCATCTATGACTCGCTTGTATTGGATGGATTAGATTGTACCCAGCATGCTGCTTGATTTTTTCATTATTCAATACAAATAAATAAATCAGAAACACCAGAAACAGATAAAAAAGAATAATGACCTTTTTTTTATCTCTCCCCCTGTGACAGACATCTGGATCTGTGGCTGGTGCACCCACCAGTTCTTCGGAAGAGGTCTGGTAAAATTTGTTTTGAACATTTAGTTGAAAAAAATATATCTAATTATTCCGATTTAAAACCTTATTTAATAACAATTTATTTGAGATTTGAGGCATTTCAATAATAAGATATAAATTTAAACCAAATATAATTCTTCAAGTACAGAGTACCTAATAATATTTACTACACATTATATAAACTGTATTGGCAAAATGTATACAAGTTTAGTTTCATAACAAGTACATAACAAAAATTCAAAATTGTTATTTTCTCGCTTTTTTGTTTGTAAAGTGGTCAATCACTTTCTCCATATCACGTTGACAAACTATTGTTTTTTTCAATTGATATAGTAGCCAAAGAACTAAGATGGTGTTGTGACACACTGCTTCTTAAATAAGTTTCAATTAATTTTAGTTTTGAAAAACTTTCTAACTTTGTGTCCTCATGATTCATGCACCTGGAGCAGTTTGCTCCAACTGCTCCACAGTAGCTATGCCACTGGCACTGTACAATTCACAATGCAATAGAATACTACAATTTGAATAACAAATGTTACATCTTTTAAAACTGTTGAAATATTTAATTTTATGTCATCACACTTTCATTCATTTAACATAGATCAATTCCAGATTATAAATTTTTACAAAATTAAACTTGTCTATTGTGCCATTTTTTTATGATGCTATTAATAATTTACATACAAATTATGAAAATCATTCACTAAATAATAATAATTTTAAATTAGTTATAAATACCTTTTCATAACAAGGAATTTCTGAATCTCTTAATACTTTTTCTGTTGTTCCGAGAGCAAGTTCTACATTTCTGATCTGTCTCACCAACTGTTTGAATTCTTGCGGTTCTAACGAAGCCACGTGATCACTTCCTTTCCATGTTCTATTTAATGTTAGATGTCTTTCGACTACCTTAAAAAGTTTAATGTTGTTTTTAAAATATATCATTATTTTAATGTACAGTATTGAAAATAAAATAAAATAAAATAAAATTGACTATATACAATTCTCAAGTAGTATTCTCTTCTGTCAAAATTATCATGTAAATTTTTTATTATAAAATATGCTATTTTGAACTTTGAAAATTATTAGAATAGAAATATTCTCTTACATTTGCCAATGTATTTTCATTTTGAACTAGCTTACCCATCGCGCATTGCTGCAATCTCAGAAGAAAGGAAATTCAAGCAAACTCATTATGATAAAATTCAATTTACATTTTATCATTTTTATTGAAACTTATTATTCATTTTCATCAGGAAAACATTTCAAATTGTTGTTTCAATTTTATTTATTTATTGGAGTGCTTGTGGATACACGATATTTTTTGTTTTTCCGTCTGGTGCGTACACGAATAAATCGGAAGGTTTTCCGACGCGTGAGCCGGCCACATACAGTTGTCCATGCGAGAAGCACGGATTCTCCAAATTTAGCCCACACACTTGCAGCAATTGTCAGAAGTGCGATATTCCCCATTTTTATATATTTTTTAAAATCCTTTATAATTTTAATTATTTAATTGCTCCTTGCTCTCTTCCTTGGCATATTGTGAAATTTCTGATAGTTGGATAATAAACTGTTTTATTGTAATTTGTCTTTTTAAATTATTTTGAGTTGATATTAAAATTTGGAAAAGGGGATCCCTAGATCAGTAAAATAGGCGAATTTCCTCCTACAACGTCGGCTGTTGTTCGGAATACAGTTAAAGTTTTAACAAAGTTCAAGCGAATACGTAATTAGCAAAAAATAGTTGAAATAAAATGATTAAACAAAAATTATTACAAATATCATAAATAACAGTTCACAAATGCAAATATAGAGATATTTTTTGGAGGGGGAAATGTCTTCACAATTTGAAATCCATCGATCTCACGATGAAATGTTCATATACACTTTATCATAGGATTGCGCCATCTATCATAGGATAAATGTACTAGGCCAGAAACAGTGTATTAAAAACTTCCAAAAGCTTCATGGCAATTGTATTATGCCAGAAACCTTCACGGGAGTATGTTAAACAACTTTCCAAAGTTTCACAGCAAATGGATAAACGGTATGGTAATGCATAAAGGACAGACAGACACACATTCATTTTTATATATATAGATTAAATATAAATTAATCAACAACTGACTGAAGTACAATCAATTAAAAATTTGTTAAATATTTATACTGAGTGAATAGTTTATTTGTCTAAAATTTAATCAAACAAACTCAGACTGACTACTAAGGAAACTCTTAATTATTATACATAATGTAAATGTACTACATTACCTTAGCACCAAGAGCAACTGCTGCAATTGTAATTTCTTGTCCTACTTCATGTCCTGAATATCCAATTATTGCTCCTGGTAACTCACTTTTATAAGTCTATTAAAACATACATGCATACATATATTTTTAATATAAAATATGATTTAAAATTCATAATTTTTAATTATTAAACACAGTAATTATTGATGACAATCTTACTTTCAAAACATTTAGGTGTATGTCTTTGGGTGGTGCAGGATACGAACTGGTACATAACAGAAAGCACAAACGTTTATTAATTGGCATAAGTAAATCATAGACTTTTTTAACTGTCTCCATGTTTTGCATTCCAGTAGATATGACCATGGGTTTTGTAAATTTAGCAGTATGAATCAACTGAGGGAAATTGTTTGAATCACCTGAACCAACTTTAAAAAATGGAATACCAAGTTTATGAAGAAAATCGACAGATTTCTGAAAATTTTATAATACTGAAATGTATTATTCATATAATTATTCAGACAGACTATAAATTACTCCAAATGCATACGGAAAGAATCAACATGGATATTAACCAATGAGCTTCAGCCATTGATCGCTTAATTGAAGCAAGTTACTTCTGGTTTCTTCTTCCTTTGTTAAACATGTCACTGCCATTATAAACAGTGTTAAAGAAGCTTCACGTTCTCATATTGAAATATGAGAAGTTCCCTACAGTAGTTATTAAATACATGATTCTTTACAGTTAATACATGCTATAAAATAAAATTTGCACATTGCCTGACATATTAAGTAAAAGACATCATTAGGGAATGTGATGATTGGTTTAACTAAAGTGACATCATGTGTGACATTCCTCTCAAGTTGATTCTTTCCATAGACAGATTATCTAAAAAATGTTATATTTTTTTAAAAATTTTTTAGTTAAGAACATTTAATATAAAATAATTATTGATTACAGTTTACTTATAATAAACTTTAAGCAATAACTATTTTCATAGGTTACAACAATGATTAAAATTCATTTTGAATTTTTTTTAATAAAAAAAAGGGCTGTAATCTAATCTGGAATTTCATTTAAAATTCTTTGCTTTAAAAATACTTTCTTTATAATGTCTTGACAGTTCAGATGACAAACTGTCATAATAAATATCAAGAACTATTTATTTAATACTGTTGAGCATTAACATTGTAACTAAACAATCTTTTTAAGCTTAATACTGTAATTTCATGCAGATAGCTCATGGGTTATCTGAGTTTGAAAAATAATTTTAAAGAGGTGCAGGCTATGCAATGGTGTGGGTTACATGCCGATTTTAAACTGCAGTCATTAGTTAAAGTTGATCTGGTGAGTTAGTTGCCTGCCACTGGCCAACTAATTAATTACACAAGCCTACAAAAAAAAATTTTTTTTTTGGTGCCTAGGATTTTAGAACTGATTTTAGGCTATATTTGGGTTGCTGAATCCAAATATGAAATCAGTTTTTCTCTATCAGCTCTACTTTTTTAGATCTGTGTTTTTTTAATGTACAGTGCTACATGAAATGTGTAGCTCTAATTCCAGTTTGTACAGTTCTAAATCACATATGCAAGAATTGATTCCTGTATATTTTCCCCTTTGTTAGTCTGCCGTCCAGTTAATTCCAGGTAAATCCACCAAATGAATTAAGCATTCGGTAATAAATTGACATTCAATGCTTCAACTAGAGTTGAGGTAAGTTTGTAAATTCTAGCCATGCAGTGTCTAGATCAGTGTTTCCCAGCCTTTTTTGTGCTATGCCCCACCTAAGCCTTTCTAAAATTCTTATGCCTCAGTTAAGTATAGAAAAAATTAAAGCAGGAATATTTGACGGCCCACAAATAAGACAACTCATTAACGATTTTGCCTTTGTAAATTCGATGAATGAAGCTGAGCGGAAAGCCTGGACTACATTTGTTGCAGTTGTCAGAAATTTTCTAGACAAATGCAAAGCTGAAAATTATGTTGAACTGGTAAACGAGATGCTTAACAGTTTCAAATCCCTTGGATGTAATATGAGTATTAAGGTGCACTATTTACACAGTCACTTAGATCGTTTTCCTGAAAATTTAGGAGACACCAGTGAAGAACAAGGTGAAAGATTTCACCAGGATATTAAAACTATGGAGGACCGCTACCAAGGAAGATGGGATACGCATATGATAGCAGATTACTGCTGGAGTTTAAAAAGGAATTGCTCCAACATACATTCATGAAAATCACAGAAAAGAAGCTTCCTCAATGTGTAACTGTTTAGTTTTATTGATGACTTTTTCCTCTATCTTTGTATAGAATAATATTTGCATAATATAATAATAAAAATTCCGTGTTTAGTTTTTTTACTTGATCCATGGATGTAACTTAAGATATTGAAACGTATATTTCGCTAAAATGCTATATCTTAAAAATTAGAGCTCCTAGGCAAAAACTAATGCCATATTTGAATTCAGGACATCAAATTCATATGAAATCAGCTCAAAATACCTGGGCACCAAAACCACTGTTGACCTGTGTTATTTATCATTTATGAAAAATGACCAAGTGTTTAATTATACTCCCACTGTTTTCACAACCCTGATCTATTTCAACAGATTTGCAAGTATTTATTGAAAAATTAAATCTTAATTAAGATACAGATTAATTTTCAGTCTAATATAAAACACAAATCTAAAAGAATTATAAGAATTTTTTTAGATAAGTAGATGTATGTTTTTTACAGATAAATCTGCTTAACTGAGTCATTGAAACACGCTCAGCCGATTGCAAAGACAATGTTTAGAGACCAATGGCAGTTTACAGATCAGGTAGACCGCTGTTCAGAAAAATTTCATTGCAGAGACGGCGTTTCTTGCCTGCCACAATGTAGACAGCGATTAGAAACAAGTTATTTGACCAATTTTCTAGACTCACTTGACAGCGGGTTTAGAGGGCTTTTCAATTCGAGTGGTAGCTTTGTTCATGGAAAGTTTAGATAAAAACAGATATCGTTCCTTTGATAAATGTTGTAAACGGTACAAATCAACAAAATTATTCATTAATTAATTGCTTGGAGAAAAAACAACAAAATTAAATACTTAAAATTTGCTTTAAATGTTCCAATTTCTATATTCAAATGGGTGAAGACTTAAAACTTCAATTAATTTAAATCAGATGCATTTATTTACAATTCAAGTATTGTGTTTGTTTTAAAACATTAATGCATTTCGGAGTCATTGTACTGTTAAACAAACAAGACAATTTTAATAATTACAGAAATCTATTTATAGATATAAAAAAAATGTAATATTCGTAATAAAATATTTAAAATTATTCATTTCGACAGTAATAAGATGTTGAAATAATTCCTTAAAAATCTATTCCGAAGACTAATTTCAAATTCGGTATAAATTTTCTAAATATGGACTTGTTCGTATTTTAAACTGTATTGGCGATGAAATTAAATATCGAAATGGAAAAAAATTGTCATTAATTGCCAAACAATATTTTGACGGCCTTAAGATTTTGTTTCTGCAAGCTTTCGGAATATAGCTGATGACCATTTCTGATGTCAGAAACAAATAACCCGATTGGCCAAACGACTCCTAAAACAGGGGAGTAATAGCGAAGTAAGTAAGAGCCAATGTTTTGCCAAAGTTCGTTTAGAGAATGGTCAGAAATAGATGATCATCGTCTTTGCAATGCATTTTAAACCGCGGTTCAACAGACCAACAGAATGGTCTATAGGCCATTCTGTTGATAAACGTCGTTTAATGTAAACTCTGTCTCTGCAATCAGCTGACTATGTCTATAATTGCAATAAAAAAATTAAGCTATATTAAATACATTAATTTTTATTGGTTTATTTCTTTCTGTCAGTTCTAGATTACAAATATAGATGTTTAACTTTCAATAAGTGATAGTTTGTATTGTTCATAATAATTATGAAATAGTTCTAAAAGTTTTTGATAAGATAGAAATTGCATATGTGAAAAAATTCTACTGTAATCAAAAATTATCAGGAATGGTTCATTTAAACTGCACATGCAAAAGAGGACACTGTTGTCATCTGGTAGGACTTGCATCGACATCTAGCAACAATCCTTATGTCATCATCTGTTTTCATTTTCAAATAAATGCTTGTTTTGTGTGTTAAGAATATTTTCACTAGCAATTTTACAAAATGTTGAATGTAATTGAGCTAAGAACGTGTTAAATTTTCTTTTTGCAACAGAATTACTGCTGCAAAAAAGCATTTTATGACGATAGTCTATCAAAAATAAGAGTGGTAGATATTAAAGAAAAGCAAAGAATGCATCAAAGATAAACCACACTTTGGTAGACATCCACTTCAACTGATAAACAACACATTACTCAATGATTGCCATTTAGCAATTAGGATTATTATTAAACATTCTCCAGTACCTTTTGGATCTTCTCAAGCAATTTTAAAATATCATTTGAGCCTGCAGCACATTACTTGTCAAGTTGTTCCAAAAACATCGAATTTTTCCAAAAATATGTTTGAGTGGCTGAGGGAATGCTTTCTCGAAGTAAATCATTCTTAAAATGCATCATTTCAAGTGATGAAATGTGGATGTACACTTTTAACATCAAAACAGCTCAACAATTGAATGAATGGTGCTCAAAAGGTAAAGTGAGACCGAAAAGACCAGGTCAGTGAAATTTGAAATAAAAAATCTGTCTCAATAATATATTTAAAATTTACCTTATCCATTCCAGATGATGAAAATGAAATATCTTTTTGTTGTGCAAATTGATATAATTCATAAAATTGATCTTCACTAAATTCCAGATGCTTTCGGTGTTCTCCATAAGTCTTTCCCCAAGAATTTAACGATACATATGGTCTTTCAAGAGCTGCTTTATTGAATCTTGATGGTAAATCTGTCTTTTGAAATTTTACACAGTCTGCACCTATTTCCTATTCAGATAATAATCAATAATGTAACCAAAAAAATGTGAAAAAATATAAAATAACAACAATGATAACAACCTTTGCTTCAATAATCATTCTTTTAGCAATATTAATATCTCCTTGATGATTCTGTCCAATCTCAGCTATTATAAAACAAGGATGATTTTTACCTATCTTACGTCCAGGTATAAGTTCAAATTCAATATCCATTTTTCCTATAAATATAAATTTAAAAAATATATATATTAGCAATTAAATTTTATATAAAATGAAAGTTTTAATTATAAATTTAAAAAATATGTAGTATTTTACACTTTCTAATTAATCACAGTTAAAATTTTTAATTTATAAAGTTAGTATTTTTAAAATAATTTTTAATTTTATAAATATTAATTGTATTTATTATGTGAAAGCCTGAATTTGACCAAAAAACAAAGGTTTTGAGGAAAAAATCTTTTTTTTATTAAATTGTGGTAAAATTTTCCCAGTGAAAAAATAATTTAATTGTCGGAGAATATAATTGTATCTTTTGCTGGAGTCACTTCCTTTTCCAGGTGACACATTGAATGTGTCACCAGGAACCTAACAACAAAAATCACTATTGGATGAGAAGATCAACATTACCAAAAATGGGCAAGAGAAGAAAGAGGGGAGGACTCCCAAATAAAAAGAAATGTCTGATGACGACACTGAAAGTTTGTCCATCTCTAGACTTCATCGGTCACAAGGAGTTCGTTGCTCATCCCAGATACATCGACCATCCTGCTGATCCTAACAAATTATCCTATCAATCCTACTTGACTGTTATCAACAATCCAGTTTGACTTGTTAAACGATCCTGATCCTGAATGATCACCAATCCAAAATCCTCCAAATCATTGATTCACCGATCCTGATTCATCAACAACTAAAGAACAGTTCTTGAATTTTGCAAGGTATTTATCCACTCACAGATAATTGTGAACTCCCTTTCTCGCAGTAAGGGCCCGTGATATTAATGATAATAGCTACTTTGTAGAAATCCTTAAAAAACTAGCTACAAATCCTTATAAAGCCTTATGAAGCCTTATGAACTCTTGTACATAGATGTAATTACTTATCTAATAAATGGGTATTTGTTAATGTTAATCTTGTAGTTCAGTGAACTTCTTGCAACCGCTGTCTGACTGATAATCTAAAATAAATTTGTTTTCAAAAATGATTATAATCATTTAATTTGAATTAGTTAGTCCTAAAAATATTTAAATGCTTTTAAACGTTTCTCACTTCTACACATCCCAAACATTTCAATGACCAATTTCTTAATGTTTCTATTCAGAACATTGGTTTGAACATCTCTAAATGAAAACTATAAGAAATACTGTTTCGAAAAACTATTGTTTTTAAATAGAACATTTGTGCATCAGAATATTAAATAGGCTTAAAGAAGTAGAGATACAAGACAGAATTAATAAAAAGAATAAGGAACATAGCTCTTGGGTTTAAATGATAGGCCAAAGTAATTTTAGGAAATAGTTTGAAGAAAGTAATTTCAGACTTAACAAGAGAAAAGAGACTAGCTTAGTAGTGATATACACTCAAAACCTAAAACAATAAAACCAAATCCTTCTTAGATAGGTCAAGAGAATGATGATAGACTAATCAATTTATATAACTATCATTTATTTATCTTACTTTTATAAAAAGTAATGCCATATAGACAAAAGACTCTGGCTATGACAAATCTAAACACAATAAAAGCATATGAAAAAATTACAGAAGTAAGAATACAATTTGTAAAGTACTATATTATTTTTCCGACTTTCCAACGATTATCGACACTACTGTGTGCCGGAAATAGCCGTTCCCTAACGGGTACTTTACGCGGATTCGCGTTAGTGTGCCAGGCCTGGACTTTAAGCGTGCACCGAATTAAATAATGACAAAGTTTGTCAATAACAAAATCAAATATTTAATTAAACTTCTAGTAATAAACTATATACAGTATTTAGTAAAAATCAAACAATAATTTATTCAATGAAATTCAACAAGAATCAATCCGACAAACTCAAATCAATCTATTTCTAACTTAATTCTATTCCCCTTTGGAATTCGACAAAATCAAAGAATTAACTTATAAACAATAATTCTTATAAATTAAAGATCCTAATCGTCACCTCAATATACTAGGAACCTATTTCCTCAAACTCTCAAGACTTTCTATAATCGTCGATCCACAAATCGAATAACTTCAAAATCCTATCGGACACCTCTCTCGTTCACTGCTACGAAGCTCACCAAAGCTCGTTGCTATCAGGAATTCACCTCGTTCGTTTTCACTTGAGTTAGAGGCTTTATAGTGTGAGGTGACGTCACAATTCTGAATGAGCTCACTCTCCTCATTTACATAATTATCTGTAACATTAAATTTTTCTCGTTTATCTGGCAGATTATTTTCCGACAATACTTCGCTAACCTTTTACATTATTCTTTTTAACAATTATCGGGATGCTTTATTATTTTAAGGTTTAGCGATTCCTAACTGGGTTGTGGGGTTTCCCCCCCCTTTTTCTCGGTGCGGACTTACTTTTTTCCGCTTGGGAAGCGCAAGTGTGCGCGAGTTTTTCTACGGCGCTTTTCTTTCGTCGGTGAGTTGGTTTTTCTTCTATTTTTAAGTTACTAAGGTGAATGGTGAGGAAACCTTCGTCTTAAATAAACATAAGCCCCAAACAAAATATAATGAAAGCAAAATAAAAGTAAAATAAAAATAAAGCTCAGACTTGGTTCCTTACAAATTCTCCTTTACAGATATATAACTAAGGTAAGAAATGCCAGTAATTTAAAGTATTCTAATGCAAGAAAATAACAACTAAAACAATTAACATTTAATGTTTAAAATATTGGTTAAGAATTATAATGAAGAATGATAATGATTGCACATTATCAATTGCACATTGAGGTCTGAAAGCACAGAAAAAGGGCCAAAAAATGCTGATTACCTAAATGAATGAACTATGAACAAATGAAATGGATGAACAAAATCTTAAGGAGTGTGATATACTTCTTAAGATTTTGTTCATCCATTTCATTCCATTTCACATTGGAGTGAAAATAACAAAATTATTATTAACTAGAACAAGTGTAGCTGTATTGCTACACTTGTAATAATTTTGTATAATAAAATAATAATAATAAAACTTTGTATAATAATAAAAGTAAATAAATAATAAAAATAAATACACTTTCCTAAAATCACTCCACAACAGAAAAGACCAACTATTAAAATCGATGATATCAGGACAAAGAATACCAATTTGTTAAAATACTTAGGTGTTATCCTGGATAATAAACTAACATATCTCCACCAATTCCTTGCGATAGAGACTAGCGAGTGCATAACACTTACAACCTTGTTATAAATATATGGACATGTTGCTTCCAGTGAAGCAACATGTCCATTATATTCTGCACTCACTAGTCTCTATCGCAAGGAATTGGTGGAGATATGGCAGCGAGGCAATGTACACTGCTGTTATTGAGCATATTACTACCTATAGGTCAGAAATCTGGGAGAAGATGCACATCAAGAGGAAACTACTGTCAGCACAGAGGCTATTGACAATCTCAGTAGTCAAAGCGTACAGGACTGCCCCCACTGATGCCATCCTTGTCATTACGGACCTTCTTCCCATTGATCTCATAGTAAAGGAGAAAGTATGGAAATGTAATCTGCACAAACTAGCCAACCAGCAACTCACCATTAATTCTTATAACACCAACATCATTGACATTAGGGTCTGCACTCCTGCTACAAACATTGCTACTCTCATTGTGGAAGACAGTCTGGATCAGCATACACAGCACCATTTCCTTCATCCAAGTACTTCTATAGACCATCTGTTCTGCCTAGATGGCTCAAGTACCCCTTCATATCATTGTATCTTACGGACAGTTCTAAATGTGACAAAGAGGTTGGTTGTTCCTTAGTTGTAATGAAGGACAACAAGAACATTTACCAGGCTCAATTCAGACTGGCCAATCACTTTTCTGCTAATCAAGTGGCATCTCTGGCAATTTTCAATGCAAACAAATGGATTAAAAGCAATGCTCATTCCAGTAAACTGAAAAGTGTCTCCATCTTGTCCGACAGCAGGGTGGCCCTTCTCCAGCTCAAGAATATGAACATCAAATTACCAACATCTATGATAGTGTTAACATCCTCCTCTCTCTTTATAATATCTGGATGAAGGGGCACTCAAACATTCAGGGCAACAAGAGGGCAGACCTTCTTGCCTGCACAGCCCCAGATAGAATACATCACAGCTCATTCAGCAAAATTCTACCTTCCTGGCTCAAGAAACAGATCGATTAGATTCTTGGAATGCCTGGCAAAACAGATGGGATAGCAGCAACACTGGAAGACTGACACACACAGCTTCATCCCCAAAGTCAAACTCAGAAGAACAAACAAGCATATCATTCCATCTTTCCAGTTGACTCAGCTTCTAACTGGGCATGGCAATCTCAATACTTACCTATGTAGGTTCCTCCACAAGACTAATGGCCTGTGTACTTGCCAGCTCAATGAAGAAGAGGATCCTAGACACAATTTATTACTGTCCAATTTAATTAAAATGCCTCAGTGTCCTTTTTTCTTACTAAAATATAAATTTTTGTCTATAATAACGTATCTTCTATTACCAGGACTTATTATACTGGCACTACAGAAATATTACAAAGTTTTACAGAAAAACATTTTAGTAAAATAAAAAATGTTTTTCTGTAAAACTTTGTAATATTTCTGTAGTGCCAGTATAATAAGTCCTGGTAATAGAAGATACGTTATTATAGACAAAAATTTATATTTTAGTAAGAAAAAAGGACACTGAGGCATTTTAATTAAATTGGACAGTAATAAATTGTGTCTAGGATCCTCTTCTTCATTGAGCTGGCAAGTACACAGGCCATTAGTCTTGTGGAGGAACCTACATAGGTAAGTATTGAGATTGCCATGCCCAGTTAGAAGCTGAGTCAACTGGAAAGATGGAATGATATGCTTGTTTGTTCTTCTGAGTTTGACTTTGGGGATGAAGCTGTGTGTGTCAGTCTTCCAGTGTTGCTGCTATCCCATCTGTTTTGCCAGGCATCCTGTTTCTTGAGCCAGGAAGGTAGAATTTTGCTGAATGAGCTGTGATGTATTCTATCTGGGGCTGTGCAGGCAAGAAGGTCTGCCCTCTTGTTGCCCTGAATGTTTGAGTGCCCCTTCATCCAGATATTATAAAGAGAGAGGAGGATGTTAACACTATCATAGATGTTGGTAATTTGATGTTCATATTCTTGAGCTGGAGAAGGGCCACCCTGCTGTAGGACAAGATGGAGACACTTTTCAGTTTACTGGAATGAGCATTGCTTTTAATCCATTTGTTTGCATTGAAAATTGCCAGAGATGCCACTTGATTAGCAGAAAAGTGATCGGCCAGTCTGAATCGAGCCTGGTAAATGTTCTTGTTGTCCTTCATTACAACTAAGGAACAACCAACCTCTTTGTCACATTTAGAACTGTCCGTAAGATACAATGATATGAAGGGGTACTTGAGCCATNCACCAGAGGGAAAAACAAAAAATATCGTGTATCCACAAACACTCCAATAAATAAATAGAATTGAAACGACACTTTGAAATGTTTTTCCCATGAAAATGAATAATAATAATAAGTTTCAATAAAAATAATAAAATGTAAATTGAATTTTATCATAACGAGTTTGCTTGAATTTCCTTTCTTCTGAGATCGCAGCAATGCGCGACGGGTAAGCTAGTTCAAAATAGAAAAGAGAAATCAATTTCATATACACACATTCTATAATTTTGATTTTATTACTAAATAAGAAATTATTTATTGTGACATGTCACTGCTCTTCATGCATATAAGAAGGAAGTCTTGCCGGTCCCCTATGCTCATTATAAGAGTTCAAAAATATTTGTGCATCATTAGATTTTACATCTGAAGTGATAAAGTAAATTACCAATAATTGGATAACAGGACAGTAACTAAATGTAATAACACTACAGCCAAATTTAGTCTGTTCATATTGTTACTTAGATCACATTCTTAATAATTAAACTGTTTCATTAATTTATCATTTTCAAAATAAAAGTAACCAAACATGACGTTAAATATATTGTGGTGTCTTTTGTGGTGGATCAGTATATAAGCAGTGACATCACAGATTCATTTAATAAAATAATCCTTTATGATTATCAGAAAGATATTTCAGGACTTGAAAATTTTTCTATAAAATATGATGTAATGGGTTCATAGGAAAGTATATAAATAAAATAAAAGATAAACTTTTTTGAAAAAAGAAAACAAGATTTGATGACATTGAAAACACAAATACAAATGTATGTACAAAAACCCTCATACAAATTCCACAATTAAACAAACTAAATTTCCCTTTCATTTGTAATATTTTACTTGGTGTCACTAAATGTTTCTACATTTTGTAACAGAAAGACCAAGTCACATTTTAGAGAGATCTTGTAAGGTTGTTATATGTTGTATAGCATTTTGCATAAGTATATACATTCACTATACCTTGTATATGCATCAAAAATATACATATATTTTTTGAAAATATAATAATATAATATATAAATATAAATATATATTTAGATATCTTTATTTAAAAAAAAACATACTTTTGTAATTTCAAAATTCATGACAGCAAAATTAAACTTGTACAATATTATACTGTTATTAGCAATACTAGGCTGACTAATAAGAGTGTTGTTGAATTGTTATAGTTATTTTCCAGGCAATGAAAGTAAAACCTTAACATAGAAAAACTGATAGATGTAACTCTTGTCACTGAGGTGTTGACCATGATCAGAATGCATTAATTATAACTTAGAATCTAACTGATTTAGACTATACAAGTTGTTGTGTTATATAATTGATTCTCAAAAAGTATTCTATTTCAGTAACAGGTTAAAGTTTCTGTTCCATTAGAAAATTTATTTTCTGTTTAAATAGTTTTTACAGTAGACCCCCCTATAACATGGTAGATAATTCCGTGTTATATGAATTCCATGTTGTATGAGTCACTTAGATTTTACAAATACGTGTGCCAGGCTGTGAACAGCTCATGTATTTGTAAAATCTAAGTGACTCGTACAACATGGAATTCATATAACACAGAATTATCTACCGTGTTATAGGGGAGTCTACTATATTTTAAACAGATTTTACTGTATTATATTAAGAAAAATCTGTTGACAAAGTAGAAGTCTACTTACTTCAAAAACTCTTTCTTTATAAAAACATCAGCCATTCTTCATACAACAAATATCCCAACCAAGGACAAAGGATGAACTTTGGCACCTATAATCAATTAATTCATCAAATAAGAATATTTTTTAATTTTATAATTTCCAAAATTATGGAATCACAAAAATATATAAATATTTATACCACATCAACTTAACAGAATTAATAATGAAAATAACCTTACATGCAAATAAAATTTTTATATAAAATATACTATACGTATAAAGAAACTTTTTAAACTTTAATATTTTTTGAAATAAGTCTGTATGCCATAAGTTGGTAAGATAATCATGTGTAAAAATATTAACAAGCAATTCTGGAATAAAAATCTGGATTGAATTACTTTATTGATAACAATTAAGAAACTTTCTTAGCTATATACAGTGAACTCCCATATATAATGCACTCCCTCTATAACACTAATTTGTATAATGCAACAAAGAAATTGAAACTAGTACTCATACAAAATACTAATTTTGTCATCCAGAGGTATATGTTTTCTTCTTCAACTTCTAGGCCTAGGTTTAATCAAAGAGCTGCAAAGAATTTTGATATTTAATGTAGTAAAAATTAATATATTATCATAATCCTTTGTAAATAATAATTATGTTATAAAAACATCATTAAATCAAATTATTCTTACTAAAGAATTCTAGCACAATAAAATCAAGAAAGTAAATTAGTTAAGTAAAGTGTACAGTGGAACCTCACTTAATAAGCTCCAGAATGTTACTCATAAAGCAAAACAATTTTTTCCATATAAATTAATGTAAAATACGATAATGCATTCCACACCAAAGTACTCAAATATTTTATATATAACGTTTATTCAAAGAAAATTATACAATATACTTTGTTAATGAGCATGAATCATCATCTTTTCTTCTAGCACGGAATAAACTAACCTGGAATGTGAATTTGATTTGCAGAAAACAAATAAAAATCAAAACACAGTAATTTCTAATATTTAATTATAATCTTTACATAGCCCAAGAATTTGGCATATTGTTTGGCATGTTTATTATATAATGGGCTATGGTTGTTGATGTTTATATGTTATATGTCTGAACACAAGTTTGGAAAAATGTGTGATCATAAGCAACACTAAGATGCTAGCGGAACAAGTGCTAAACACAAACTGATGTAGCATGCACACAATCCAGGACTTTTCTTATCACTCGTTATGCAAAACGTCACTCGTTAAGCGAGTCACTTTTTACAATTTGCTTTGCTCGTTATGCAAATTACTCATTAAGTGAGGTTCTACTGTAATTAAGATTGAAAATGTCAATATAGCACAATTTTTGTTTTACAATGAATAATTATAAAATAAATACAAGTCTTGGTGATGTTTAGTTGAACAGACAATACTGTCTGTTCAACTAAACATCACCAAGGACCTTGTCTGTTCAACTAAACAGACAACAACTGTCTGGCCTTGTTATATTATCAAACAACAGGGTATGGAGAAACATTAATGGTAATATTTTGATGGAGAGAGGTAAAAATGTTGTTAAATATTTTATAAAGTTTTTACGTATATCTTATTACCTTTTAGTGTTTTAATAAAACTGTGGTTACTAAAAGAGCACTATTTAGCAAATGACACTAAATTCAAAATAAGAAATAGAAAAGAAAGTGGAGATATACAAAATAATTTGGAAAATGTACACGTTTCCAAATTTTTTGTATATCTCCAGTTTCTTCCATTTATAAAAAAATGTGCACATTTTTAAATAAAAATGATTAGTAGTGTTAAATATTGTTTTTTGTTGTTACATTCTTTCTAAAACAAACTTTAACATGTATGCATACCAGCAGTAATTTTTTAGTAAAAGAGAAATGGGCATAACCAAGACAGACTTCAATTTTTGGTCAGCATTCATTTGACTGACAGTGAAATTCTACATAAAAATAATTTGACTAAGTTTTTAGTAATTAAAACTCCAGGATGACAATTATAATTAAAATTTACAATTTCAGATGAAATACTAAATTGAAGTATAAAGTGTCTTAACAATTTATCTTTTCAAATCCCAAGTTGGATAATCTGAAGAGGGCCATGACATAATCAAACATTTTGGTTTGATGCTCTCATTCACCACAATATACAAAACAATAGTTAGAAATTCCTCTGGTGATGGCACAAGGGACAAAACCACCATAACATTATTCAGACTACATTATCCAATTGTGTGGTGAGAAAAAAGATCATTTGTAAAGGCACTTTAATTTAGTGTTTCTTCTGAACTTCTAAATTTTGAAATTTGATAGAATTGTCAGCTACAGCAATTTTATATTCTATAGCAAATCTGGAAAACTCCACCTGGCCAACCCATTAATTAGGCATGAACATGGAACCAACTTCCAGAGGTGTATTTTATCCACTTGGTCAGTAAAGCTTAATAAAGACAAGCCTATGAGTGGCCAAGTAAATAAAACTATTTCTGTATTAGTGAGATCTATGGTGTTAAACATTCACCCATTCTTCCTTAGAGAACTTAGTGCTAAAATATCTTTCCAGTGCTTTCCCCTCAAGTTCAAGTCTTAGTTTAATTAATTTTGTTTAGTAAAGTAATTGGCAATAAAAGTTAGAGTTTTATCAAATAAAACAATTATGATGGTATTCAGTACAGATTATTTTTATGCTTCAGCTTCAGTATATTTTTATGTAAATGCCAGCTGAAGAGTCAAAGAGGCTCAAAATGCATATTAGAAAATAAACCTGTTTCTCTAAGTTAATTCTTTTGTCCTTGTTATTGAATGTCTGCTAAGTCCAGAAAAATAATAGTGTTTATGGACTAAAAAGTGTATTAAATGATATTAGACCAGGAAAGCTTGATTTATTCCACAAGGAAATTACCAAAAAGCAAAAATTGGGGCATTATGGCTAATTATTCTATGAGTAGCAAAACAATGCCAGTATGAACAATGCCTCAATATGAAAAAGATTACTCCAGCTAAGGTTAACTGAAAAAGAGAAAATTGCAAGACTCAACTGGACCCAGAACTAAATGACTTAGAAATCCAGGATTTTTTAAAATAAGGGTAGTGCTGCTCAAGACAGATTCAGGGAGACAAGGCACATCCCTATTATTTTAATTGAATAACATTCTGTTCAATTATCGTATAATTACTTTAGATAACTAATATTACCTAAGTGAAGGTATGTGATATATATTATTTTTATTTTAAAGTAAAAAAATTGTTTTGGTATAAATGAGGATGCTGCAGTACCATAAGCACCTCTGTGGATATGTCCTTGAAATCATATGTCAACTATGTTTTATTGACTGAAATTTGTTTTGAAAAGTTATAAAATTTACATCACTAATATATTATGCATTTGATTCATGAATTATAAAATCAAAAATATATTTTGATGACACAAACACAGAATTTATATTTATTCATAAAGCATCTGTTAAATTAGAATTATATTGATAAAATATCATAATATTCAGAAACACAAATCTCTATTTTATTTTCTATTTTATTTCTTAAAAAGATACTGTGGCCAGGTTGGCCTTTTACAAGAATCTTAAAGCAAAAATCAACAAAACAAACAAAAAAAAAACAAAAAAAAATTGTAGATACTGTGTTTGGAATTCTACAGAGAAGCTTATCTGTAGTAATCAGAATAATACTGTATGTTGTTTTTCTTTCCCATTCTCTGCACAAATTTTAGTTCTTCTCCACATTGTTCCAGACATGATCTATCCTACTGATGGTTAGAAATTATTAATACAGTCCATTTTTAGATTGTTGACTATTTCAAAATAGTAAGGTGACCAATCGTCCTCCCTCGAAAAGTGTCCTCTTACATATCCTCCTTTTTGATATTTGAAGACTAATCTGTAAATCTCTGTATTCGATCAATGCCAAACCGATCCATTGCGTGTGATGTGATATGATGTGTTTGTATTTAACATGATGATTCATCAAGGCTCTGTACAGTGCAACGAGATGCAATTATGAGACATGTTCTTTGCACAGGAAACCTTGAGAGAGAGAAAGCGCATGCGCAGATGGCTTTGTTTACTTCTTATCGAAACATGATATGGCACCTATGCATGCAGTAAAGATTATTATAGTGTATTATTGTTGCAATGAATAAAATGTTTTTTATTTACAATATTTTTTCCTTCAATTTATTAGTGTGCTCCTTTTCATTGTAAAAAAGTTGGTCACCTTAAAAATAGACAAGAAATAATCTCACAATGTCACAATTTGCCTTAAGACATGTTCTTAGACTTCAAGGAAACTTCCTTACTACAATTTCAGGGGTATTGGTCACTTATCTGGCCACAAAAACTCATCAAAACAGAGAGGAAATCAAAATTTGCAAAATATTGGATTACATGATTTGTAGACATTACTTCTTATTGAATTCCCATCCAAACCAATCCTTTTATATCAGCAGCTAGCAGCTAGCCATTTTAAGTCAGTGCGATGCTTGCGGGAACTCGATTGCTTGCTTGTGTGGAGGTTTCCACAGCAAACAAGTGTGCACATGACATCATTCAAAGCATTTAACATGACCAGATTGTATTAAAAGCTTGTGATACCCAGTCAGCATACATGTATTGTGTACAGGGGTGGATCTACATAGGGACTAATAGGGCTTAAGCCTTGGGCCCCCAGTGTCAAGGGCCCACAAAAATTGAATTACTTTATTATCATACATTTTTAATACTTTTTCATTATAACATATTTCATATGCAGATATAATGGGCTTTATAATAGTCCATACTTTTTTAATCACACCAAATAACGTTTCTGCCTATTTTTACTAATCATGTCAATTCAGTTGAACTGGAAATAAAGAGATGAAAGAATGCCAAGTGATCAATTAATTACACTACATAGTAAATAATCCTTCGAAAAAACCTTTAACCGGCATGTAGTATGTTCAATTGTTCATGCTAACATTTTCGGATCCCTCCTGGGTCCTTCTTCAAGCTATGTTTCATTTGTAACGATCCGTTAGAGTGAAGACTAGCTGTTTTTTTGGAATGAAACTTCAAATATCAAACTTCGAAATCTAACGGGAGTCATGTGCCATCCAGATTCAAAACTAAAGTCATTATGTAATGACCGGTTTCTTATAATGGTGGATTATGTATTTTTTATATACGAATAAAATCCGTATTAGCGGGTCGGAAGTTGGAGAAAAAATGTGTGTTGTCATTCCCTAATTATTATACGCATCATTGCAGAATTTAAATTGAATCATCTTTCTGGAATTGGGGTTGCCACGCTAAAGATAAGGTGATTTCATCTTTGGAATTGATGGGTGATGATGAGTTTTTCAATTTCAATGATGATTTGCATATTTCAATTTGCTCTAACCACCTGAGGTGGTCCACATACAATGTTGTGATAAGGAGTTTGGCATTTGCGAAGTCTGCGGAGATCTCTGGATCTGAAGCATATACAAGTAATGAGGTGGTAGATCTGTTGTGTAGGATGTCCCGTTGGTGTTCCTTCCATTTGACTCCAACTGCCTGTTTTGTGGCGCCAATGTACACTAATTCCCTGTTGCATCTATGATCGGTGAGAGGCACAGTTAGTGTGAACAATTGAACATACTACACACCGGTTAAAGGTTTTTTCAAAGGATTATTTGTTTATTACTCCGATGTGGTCGATTCTTTATACACTACATAGTGTTTAAGAAACAAATAAGTTTCTGCCTATTGTTTAGTGCTAGAGATAGGTCTGCTATTCTTATTATAACTTTCAGCATGCCCAAAAATTTTGGTCAGGATTCACTCCTGCTATCATCCACCAAATTTGTCATCAGGACACATTTACTTGAATCGGGACTTTGTGATCTATGTATACTTATATCCAACTTTTAGTGATGGCCAAATGGCCAATCAGTTAAAGTGGCAGCCTACTGCTAGGAATGACCCAGAATCGGATCCACCTGATTTGAAAAATTCCTGGAATTTTTTGAAAAGGTGGTCCATCCAAATATGTCAAGCCCCACCCAGTCACCCCATTGTGGGCCTGGCCGAACCCATAATGAATCTGCTGACAATACTCTCAGTGCCCACAGGGCAAAAAAAGTTATTAAAAACAATCCAACTTTTTACAGAGTTACAACAATTAGAGTTAAGAAAAGGGTGTCTGCTGTTTTTTAATTACTTAGGGGTAATTAAGTGAAATGTGATAAGTGATGATGGTGGTTCTCGGAGAATTCAGGGTGAGGAAGGTCATTCCAAACAGTATTTACTTCAAATCAATACTATCATCTATTATCTATGCTCCAGATTAGTCCAGGCTTGCCGTCATTTGCCTCAACCTCTGCTTCATAGACAGTCGTGTGCCAAAGTGCAAGTGACAGCAACCACTGAGGTACACCTCCGAATGAGACAATTAGGATCTTAACAGAGCCATAGACCAAACCCACTGGAGCAAAAAAGTCAAAGAAACCACACCTCAACTCCCAACCCTCTGCAAGATACAGCCCACTTCTGATTCACAGGTGACCAGAAGTGGCATCACTAAACCAAGGCCACCACACTTCTGATTGGCCCATGCAAATACAGCAACTTTGAGTAACCCACTCGACCATTCGTGGTTACCTAATATTACATGGTTTTAGGGCAGTGGTTGCCGGGCCTAACCAGAAGCTGCCCTAGAAAGATTTTGAGGTGGTGCGAGATCTCATTGTGGTGTCACCCTGTAGAGACTAAATTGTACATAGAGATTACAGATACATTTTTCGCATTATCATGCGTTATCAACATTCTATGCTGTACTTAAGAGATTTGTAATTGCAACTTAACTCTAAATGCACAATGAGTTGTTGACCTTTTTTTTTTATTTTTTAGCCATCAGAATTTTTCATCAAGCTATTTGGACTTTAGTAGCTAATATTGAAAGATTAATCATGGGCCATGTAAATTCATTAGCCGGATCCTGCTCGTGGGCCATATGCTGGCCATGCCTGTTTTAGGGGGTGCTGGGATTCATCCTCACGTAAGCACTAAGATGCAGGCAACTACGCAAAGAGGCTGGCTCCCACTCACCTCAAGCAGAGAGCATTGGTCAAGGCAAGCAAGAGCCAGCCTCGACAGACACAGAGCAAGGAGAATAAGCAGTATTCCAGTTCACCGTAAAGGTAAGATTCAAGCTCTGAACGAGAGGGGTTTTACAAGTCTCTTCATACGAGCAGAAAATCAAAGTAACCATATCCGTATCTCCAAAGGTCATTTTTTTTAAACACATATCAGTATACTGCCTATTCTCCACGCTCTGCATCTTCAAGGCTGGCAATTGCTAGCCTCAACCGACACTCCCAGGGTCAGATCTACACAGGGACTAATAGGACTTAAGCCCCAGGCCCCCAAGCATCAAAGGCCTACAAAAGTTGAATTATCATCTTAAATTTTTAATACTTTTTCATTAACGATGAGCACTCATCGTATAGTAAAAAATAGTTAATAATAATAATATAATAATAATGATAATTTATAGTATAATTTGTATTAACAAAAAATGGAGCCCCATTAGACTTCAATAAGCCCTAGGCCCTGAAAAATCCTAGATTGCCCCCAGACACTCTGCACGTAATCATGCGCTTCGGTGCCAGCTATCGCTCGCATCTCAGCACCCAGTGTGGGAGCTCACCCCACCACCCTAAAAGTATATAACATCAAGTACTCCACAAACAGTCAAGTGGGTAAATAGTTAAACACAATAGTCTTAGCAGAGCAACGTGACTGGCAATCTGATGCGACCCAATTTTGGGGGCCGTATCTCACAAAGAGTCGTTTATACAGGTATGGTTCCTTTGACTTTTTTTGCTCCTATTGGTATGTTCTACACTACACCCATACAGTCCCAAACGTCTCATTCAGAGCTTTATCAAGCCCAGATATGATTTATTTGACCTTTTTTGCTCATATGGGGGTCAATAACTCCGTTGTAGCAAATCCCTTATTCAGAGTTGACATCTTACCTTATTCGTCACATTTCATCTAATTACCCCTAAATAATTAGACAAACAGTAGAAACTCTTTCCTTAACTCTAACCTTTGCAACTAAATTTACACGGAATAATGTGTTTGACATTTACCATATTATCTAAGATTTTCGAGTCTTTAAAGATGAAACTCTGCTTCATTACCATCTCTTCTTTACGAATAAAACAAGAATCCATTAAGAAATTGAAAAGCCGTCTCCTTTGCAAATCAAAACATCGAACTGCGTAACTCTATGAAGCTAAATGTCGTCTGTTTTCAGAAATTTTTTACTAAATAATTTTTATGACGTTATAATATCATTTTATTAACTAAATTTAATAAATATAAATTAATGATAAATAACACGGCGTTAACAACGACTCGAAAACGTTATACTGTAATTAATAAAATTGCTATTTATCTTAATCGTCGAAAGATGGAGCTAAGTATTGAGTTTATTTATTTCATTCATTCAAATAATTCAAAAATTAAATTTTCCGGTAAAAATATAGCTTGCGTCATTATAGAATTTGTTCTATTTTTGAGTTATTATTTACACAACATGTTTTGCTGATATTATTATATAACTAATAAAAATAACTACTCAAAATTGTTTTGAAGGCAGAAAAAGCCTTGTTAAACTAAAATCGAATCCGAACTCCACACGTGCGACTATGGGTGCATTCTTTTATTCCTCCGCGTAACTCCGCGCGAGCGACATCCGTTTAAAAATTCCTGCGGAACGGCGTTCCTAAATTCCGGTCGGAGTGCGCACTCCGGCAAAAACGGTCGCTTGTAGCAGTAGTTTGCGGTGGAAAGCAACATGGCGTCCTCCATGGCTCAAATAGTTTCGTTTCGGGGGTCCATTATGTGGTTTTATGAATGAAAATTTAGAAGTTGTGAAAGCGCAAGTTAGTGCACGCGGTGATGTAAGTGTCTTTTCGACTTTTTTTCGGATGGTAGCCGGCATTCTAATTTTTTCGTGGCTATTTTGAATGCTCTTTCAACAAATAATCCATTTTATGATTAAATTTTACAATTGGGACTCTTCTTAATATCCAGATGGCACAAAGCGCAGATTGGTCAGCTGAATGACGTCAACCCACCGAAGTATCTATAACCAAGGACTTTAAACTAGTATATTGTCCTTGGAAACGGACACTACAGTCGCCTTTATCGTGTGTCATATTTCAAACATTCAAATTAACAATTTTAATTATTATTTAAATTAACAATATAAATTATTATTATTCATTTGGTCAATAAATTATTATTTGGTCAATATAACAATTTAAATAATTCAGTATATTTGTAATAGGAATTTATTATTTCAGGGGCTTATATCTCGCGAAGGGTCGCGAGTAGGGGTATGGTTCCTTTGACTTTATTGTTCGCACAGGGGGCTACAGTTTGGGGGGATCGCCACCTCTTCATTCGGAGGGTAAATCTTACCATTCAGACTTTTACAGAGCTGTAGGGCATATTGATAGGAACAAAAAAGTCAAAGGAACCGTGCCTCATGGAAATTTGTAAAGAACGCCCACTAGGGGGCGTCCCTGGCTACTAGTATGTAATAAAAGAATAATAATAATAATAATTTACCTGAGCCACCAATTCCATCTTGAAAAGGAATTGCACCAGTTAGAAATACTACTATATGATTTATATTATCTGCATCAGGAATTGTAATAAAAAATTTTGTTTCATCTACAGGTTGAAAATCTGTTTGTACCTTAAAATAAAAAGAAAAAATTATGATCATTTTTATTTAATTATCTATATATATAACCCATTCAACGGGTGTCTGTCTGCGTAACTGTTTGATAACGGACACTAGAGGCGCCCCTATCGTGTGTCATATTTCAAACATTCAAATTAACAATTTTAATTATTATTTAAATTAACAATATAAATTATTATTATTCATTTGGCCAATAAATTATTATTTGGTCAATATAACAATATAAATAATTCAGTATATTTGTAATAGGAATTTATTATTTCAGGGGCTTATATCTCGCGAAGGGTCGCGAGTAGGGGTATGGTTCCTTTGACTTTATTGTTCGCACAGGGGGCTACAGTTTGGGGGGATCGCCACCTCTTCATTCAAAGGGTAAATCTTACCATTCGGATTTTTACAGAGCTGTAGGGCATATTGATAGGAACAAAAAAGTCAAAGGAACCGTGCCTCATGGAAATTTGTAAAGAACGCCCACTAGGGGGCGTCCCTGGCTACTAGTAGATTATATTTTGTGGTCGTCAGAACGAATCATGACGAAATAGATTATTTTTTTTTAGTTGTCGTAATATGGAGTGAGTATAAAGTGAAAATACAGCTGATTATTTTTTTTTAACATTTAACTTCATACTTGATCTTTATGCATCTCTGAACCAAATCGTACACAATAGATTATTTTAATAGTGCTATTAGTGTTTCAAATTTACGTGCACAGTAGGGTTTCTCATTTCCCGGGAAATTTGCCTCCAGCGGGATTACGGGAAAAATAATTTCTTTTCCCGGGATCCCGGGAAATTCCGGGATGAGATAGTAAAATAGAATTTTATATGAATAAAAAATATCATACAGGAATATCATAAATTTGAATAATAAGTAACTAAAAGTGTAGGGCCAATCTCACTCATACGGACACGTCAGGCTCAATTAATTTATGTTCTCATACATTATAAGATGAAAGTAAAATAAAGCGTTTCATTGGGAGTTTTAATGATTACGAAAAAAATACTGTTTTATTTCTAAAGATGAAATAAAAAATAAACTAAAGTGCGACGAGTGATATTTACTTTCAGCGAGTGCTCCGCTGTTCAATGATGCGCTAACACAATACATAGATATTACGTGAACTAACAAGTAGAGACTTGTAAAACACAGGTAATAATATGCAGCACGAAACCTCAAAATTTCTCTCTTAGGTGAGTCTTCAAGATGCAACTTTTCGTATAATAAATAATAGAAACAAAACCTGACATGATAAATTATTGAAATGCGGGATTTCCCGGGAAAATAAAATTTCCCGGGATTTTTCTCCTAGGGAATAAATGGCGGGAATCCCGGGAAAACGAGATCCCGGGATCCCGGGAAAGAAACCCTAGTGCGCAGCAGTGGCGTGCCGTCATTAGAAGCGGTGGATGCGCCGCTTCCCTTGTATTTTCTAAAAAAATAAATACGTATTAATTTTAATTATATGAAAATAATCGCACAATATTTTATTATAACCGCATTATGTATCTTATTACAAAATTCTATACTACATGTGAAAAAAATAATAAGATTGCTATTGTATATTCGAATATTAGTGGCGGAGTAGTGGAATGGAAACGCTGTAATGTCAGCATCCAAAAAGCCATATTCGCGCATGCGCTTTACAGAGCACCAACCTTACCCGGTGTAGCCGGTGGAAGCCTAGGACCTCGGGTGGCTGCTACACGTATAACGCATCTAATTCTATCCAGGACCGGTTCCGGGCTGTTAGCCGCCCGCATGCTAGATATTTGGCCGCCCTCGCCCGATTACCTGAATCACGAGTAGATTTATAACTTAACCCAACCGATAAGAATTTACCTGTATGTTTTTTGATAGTTTTCTGTATAGTTGACAGGAGTTTAAAAAAATCCGTTAAAATATTTGATATATTTATTTCACTCTCCGATTTTATATTACTCACGGATTTCAATGCTAAACCAGTAATATTACGATTTCGTATATCCCATCTGTAAATGGATGTAGAAAAAAACATGTACAATTCTTGTATTCTTATTTTCCTTAAATTTACGATTTATGTATCCGTTGTCGGAAAAATTTGTCTCTCCACTTTTTTCCCAAGACTAGAAATATTCGAGTACAAGGTAACTGGTTTCGACTTATTTCTACTTAAGAAGTAGTTAAATAATTAAGCGATTAGGGAAGTGGGGATATAAATAAAACCCTGCTGGAAGAGTCGGAATTTTACTTAAAAAATTAAATTATAAATTTTCGTTTATAAACAAGCGTTCTCTATTATCAGGACTTATTATACTGACTTTAACAGACAATACAGAGTTTCACAGAAAACAATTTTTATTTAATATTTAATATACCTGGACAAATATATATTCTACACAATTTTGCGTTTCGGACACATTTGTCCTTCCTCAGCAGATATTTTTGTATTGTACTCTATAAACAAATAAAACAAAATCTTTTAAAATTACATTTAAAATTACCGACAAAAATTATTTATTAAAATTCTTACAATTTCCAGATTTTCTTTAATATTTAACTGAACCGGATATTCTATTATTACCCACAAAGACAGTATTACTTTGAACTTACACCTGTTTTAAAAAAATTATTTTTTTAACATTATATCATTTTTTTTACATTTCTTTACTATTTTATACATTTGTTTACTATTTTACAACTTACATCTGTTCTTGTTCCATTTGACTAACACCTTGTTTCCACTTCTTTCGAATGTTCTTTTTATATGCGATGAAACGTGAAAAGTTCGTTGCGAAATGTCCAGTCGATGATGGCAGTTCGAATGGCATTTCCTCTTAAAGCGGATATATGTAACGAAAATACGACAGGATTGATAACGATTGCTTTTCGATTTGATAATCACGCGATTAGGAAATTGCTACTACGCGGTGTCAGAATGGACGAGTGGTCTAAGTCCTCGTATGAGAGCGTGGGTTCGACCCCACTTTTGACAGGTTGTTTTGCTCGAGTGAACATTTATCGCGGTAATTTGAAAAATCTTCTGTACAATACTGTACTTGTCTTTTCTTATAACAGTTCTTTTTCGTAATTCGAAGTCTTGAACAGAATATTATTTTAACACTCTAATGGCCTGAATTTTCTTCTGACATTTAAAATATGTATGTGTGTACAGTACTGTACATTCCGTTGCATTACACTGATTATTGAACGCGTGTAAGATGAAATTTTACTCTTCTTCGTTTTTGATCTTTGAAGTTTCGTATGTTACTTTTGAGTCATATTAAACAATTTTAATTCCATCTATAGTTCGTTATTTATCCTTTGCAATATACTACTATACAAAGTGTGTAAGCAAAATCCATAAGGATTTCAAAAAGAACGGAATAATATATTTTATTTAACAAAGTCATAAGTGCAGTGTATGCAAATTATGGTTATTAAGTTCAGCTTTTTGCTTTTGTGATATTTAAGATCATGTTATGACTAAAAGATTTTTTTTTTGTTTTAATACTGTATTTGATTTACAGACACTAATGGCCTACGAGACACTGTGAGGTATTGCTTATAAGAATAAAATTGCATGGAAACAGACGAATTTTATTCAAATTTATGCCAATTAAAACTTTTAATGACGATTT